ACAACATATTAAGAACACTAAAACGAAATCATAAATAATATAACCTGAAGCACCATATCACAATCGAACACTTATACATTGTGTTTTTTTTTTATCTTTTGATTTATCATCTTCTCATTGTTGTGCTTTGCTCTTCTTTCTCTTATTTTCCTTTTTATCTCCTCTAGTGTCTTCATCTGCTTTATTCTTCTGGTTTTTCTTTATATTCTTTGTTGGTTTTTCTTCTTCATTCACTGTTTTCCCACCTTCTTATCACACTCATCTGCTCCGGCTTCTTATTATTTCAAAGTTTATCTATTTCTTTTACTTTGTCATTTACTTCTTCCAGATTTTTTTCCTTCATTTTCTGCCATTTTTTTCCTTATTCTTATCCAACTTCCTAATCTCTTTTTATTTTCCTCTTTGTTCATCGTCATTTTTTTATGTTATAGTTTTCATTCGTTTTCTTCCTGTCATTTATGATTTCTTTTTTTTTTTCAATGGTTTTGTGTTCTTGTTCTTTATTTTCTTTATCTTTTGATTGTATTCCAATTTTTTTTTCTTCTTTTATATAGTTTCTTTTATTCTTTCGTTTTTGTCTTGCAACTTTCGTTTATCTTCCTCCCCCGCCTCCATCTTAACCACATTCGTCTTCTCCTTCTTTTTATTGAGGGTTTCTTCATATTTCATCTTGTTCTTCTTCATCATTTTGTATTATCAATCTTTTTTTATAATTCTGGTTTTCATGTCTTTACTTTAATTTTTCCAAGACTTTTGCAACATCTTATTTATTAGTTTCGTCTTTTCCTTTTATATTTTGGTTTTCTTCTCATTTCTTCATATTTATTCTTCTTCATTCATCTCCTAGACTTTTTTGTTATTTTTTTCCAATTTTGTACTTTTACCATCTTCTTTAGTTATTTGTCTTCTCTAACATCTTAATTTTCTGATTTTTCTTTGACTTTTCTTCTCCTATTTCTACTTTAGTCTTCTTTATCCTCGGGTTTTCTTCTTCCATTATTTTCTTCTTATTCTCTGCTCTTATGTACTTCTTCTTCTTATCATGTTGGATATTGATAATAATAATTGTTAATAAAGGTATTATTATTAAATCTAATTCTAGACAAAAACATAAGTTTATGTTCGAACAAATTCTCCACAAATCTTGATGTCACCCACATGTAATTCAAAGGATTTCATTACATTTTCTGGTATGGTAGAAGTTTTCTGTAGCCAAAAATCTCCTGAATGTTGATCCAATCAAGTGATGCTTATAAGGACTAAACTATTCAGAGATCAATAAACAACAAATAGGGGCACAGTTATCAAGTTACAAACAAAAACAAAATCAGGGACACAGCTATTAAGTTACAAACGAAAACAAAATACTATGCTCTTCCGTATCCATAGTTGTGAGGAAGATGTGACTGTAAACTTTGTAAGTAGTCTTTCTATCGTCAACCGTTTACCTCACATATCCTCAAGTCTCATAAATATCATTTAAGATGCATAGTTTCTCCTCCATATCAATTTTGACTGGAGGAGTCTAAAACCTACGCAGAAGCCCCACCGTCCACCGAGTTCAACAATCCCGTTGTTTGCAAAGGATCAACTTCAAGAGAACCAACGATGATTTGCAACAAACCAAGCATATATACCTTCATCAGATCCTAACCAATTTATTTCCAAGAATTAGTGCCAATATTTAAAAGAAACTATAAAAGTTAAGTACTAAACTTATAGAAGAGAGTGGAGAATTCAATCAAAATCCTTATTGCAACATGAACCAACAATACTAACAACCTCAATCATATAAAGGTAAACTTGGAGCATTACAGATGGAATCAGTAGCTTATAGTTTTTGTCCGACGTAAAGCAGGAGTAACAGTGATGTAAGTTGATCTAGAGATCCAGAGTTTTGCCGAAGAAATCAGCTTATTCTTCACCCCACCGCCCCTGCCGCAATCGGATGATTCGCATCTCGACATGAATCATGTTTCATGTGCAAATTGGAAAACAAAGTACGATACACACATCAAATAATTAGAATACTCTTACCGAAAATCAGGTAACTTAAGCTATCAATATACTATTACTGAAAAATCAAAGAATGAAATTTTGTTGGGCTAAGATCCAAACGTGTAAAACAATATATATAGCGTCTAAGACGAAGGCAAAACAATTATCTGGCTTCTTTTATAAAATATGATCAAGAAATTCCGCTCGAGATAGATGCAATCTTCCAACTTTTTAGAATTATGGTAGAGTTTTTAGAATGCAAATGGTGACAAAGGCATGAAATTTTAAGACCCCAGTTTTCTCACCCTTTGTTTAGAACCTGTTTGATATAGATAAGAAAACACTAAGTGATTATTAGGTCTGACCGTCTGAATCTAAACAACGTATTGGCTAACATAGAGAGAACATATAACACTCTAATTCAAATAATAATAAATAAATCACACAAATGGTCTAATGTAAAACGTCAAAACTAAGAACACGAAGACAGCTTTGTATATATAATTTGTAAAGATCTATCAAATTTAGGGTTTTCTCTCCCCTAAATTAATTACTGCTTGTATATAAGTTGTAATAAAAAAAAAAGATGTACATATCCTCTATTTCTTGAGAAGAATTGAGCGGCTATCACTGGGATTGTTCTCCGAAAAGGGCCTAAGGCGTTAGTTAAGCATGTGAAGAAACAGAAAATTCAAAAGAAGAAAAGAGACATCAATGTTTATTCTACCTACTGTTTCAACGATGAATGTCTACCAATTGATTCCACGTCATTCTTCTTCGAAGCCAATATAATCAATACCTATACTAAAGTAATTATAGAAGAAACTCTTTCATAGCTATTCGTTGATGGAGGCAACTCAACCTCTCATCTTGGTATGCTTTCAAGCATCTTAATATATTATTCATGTTCAATCCCCAAAACTGTATGTTAAAAAAAAGCATAAGTATTCATGCAACTCTGAACTGAGTCCCCAAGCCCTCAAGACTCTACTACCAGACCAAAGACATTCAAACAAAGCTTCGTTGACATATTCCAGCTTCAATCATATGTCCACATCTATCGACTACCATGAAAAACTAAAACTAATTCTCTTAACAAAGAAGAGCTTGGGAGGAGGTGGTGAGAGCACACAACACGGAAGCCATTAAAATCGTGAGCGGTATGGATACGATGAAACGTAAGAGTTAAGAAACAATAACAAACAATATTTATAGGTATGTCATTAGGGTTTTTTTTTAGCCGACATTAGGCTCCGAAATCTAAATCAAGAAAATTATGGTTTTTAAATATAATTATGGTTTTCCACATCCTCTAGACTCCTGGAGAAAATAGTTTTTAAATATTAATAATAAAATCTCACCTAGATTGATTAAAAACCATGCACGCCAATATTGTTTCTTCATGTCTTATGACATCGATTTAAAGATGTCACCATAAGCTGTGACCGACAACTCTTCATGATAACCCTCTTTTCGTAGAGATAATTCGATATTAGGAAAAAAATAATTCAGGGTTCTCAAAATTAACGGTGGGCCAATCATTCACATACCTTTTTAACCCTTTGTTGCACCAACCAATCTGCCAAATTTGCATTGAGCTGGTGGAAACCAAATTCCAAGATATGCACTTCCAGTTCAACATTAACAAAAAAAATCAGCGAAACAATAGTACTCGAAAGCAAACACAATTTAACAAACCTGTATGTGATGATAAAACTAATCACGGTCATGTTGTTCGTCACAACGATCATCATCTTCTTTTTTATTTTTTCTTGATAATCATAAGACAAAAACAAAACCAATCCTAGACAACCTATATGATGGGAATTCAATATATATTATTACAAAAGATGAAATATGGACTGAAGAGATTATCTCATGTCTAGAAAGAAGAATCGTAAATTGTGTTGATTTTGCTTGTTGCTATCTATTTATATAAGACATACGGTTAAGAAATCTAGGTTTTCCTTTTTTTTTTCCTTTCCAATTTTTGTAATTCTTACATAATTGTGGTGCCTAATATGGTAGTTAGGATTATTATCATAATTCTTTTTAATTAAAAATATAATTCGTGATATTAAAGAAAAAGGAAATTACGAAGATTTTAAAAAAGGATTTTCATTAAGGGTAGCTGGGTAATCAACCAGCTGAGAATTAACGTGGTACCTGGAAACAAAATAATCACTTCGCAAATAATATATTAAATATAAACAATGTTGGAACTAATATAAGGAAACCAAAAAGTGGAGTCCTCAAGTGAGGATTATGCAAAAATCATGTCGACCAACTTAGAGTCCGCTTTCCATTTTTTCCAAATCGGACATCCTCTTCTAAAATCATCTGGTGCGGGAAGCATTGTGTTCATCTCCTCTGTAGCTGGACTTGTGCATCTTAGTAGTGGATCAATCAATGGTGCAACTAAAGGCGAGTCCATGTTCTTTGTCAACCACATAACACATGGAGCCTTGAAAGCTGATTAAACTAGGGTTGGTCTTGTTTGTTTTTAGTTTTTTTTTTGTGTGACGTCTTTAAACTTTGTAGTAATGATTTCCAATCCAGTAATTCAATGCTTCAATATTTACTGACTATTTTCTTATAACTATTGTAGATTTTTGATCACCCTTAACTTAGCGAGGAAGTCTCCAGTTCTCTCCGTCGAATCATGGACGAAGAAGATCTCTCCAAGTTGTATGATTTCTCCAGTAATACCTCTCTCCATCCTTTTTAGACGAAACTGTTTGTTTAGATGGTGAAGATGTCGAAGATCTCTCCCAGTTCGTAGATTACCCCAGTAAGAACCTCTATCTCCATCGTAAAATAATACAGTAGTCAATGTATCATCGAACCTATTAACTAGTAATCTATCATCTAAATTAATGTGATTGTAATTGGTTGATGCCTTGTCAAGATTCTGCTGAGAGGGAGACACACGTCTTCTGGGACGTTGTGCAATACCCAATCTTAAATCTGTTAGAAGTGGCATCGAATCAGCTCTTGAACATATGGGATTTTATTATGCTGTGAGCATCAATGCGTATGGTGGCCTAATGAACCACACCAAAGATAATTTGTACAAAGCCCGAATCTTACATAAACCACAAGGTGAAGGTGAATTACTATTACTTAATCACTCCTCAAGTAACAAACACTCTTCTCGTTTCTACTTGTTGTTATTATATCTCTGAAAATGATATATTGCTTGCTTCAGGTGATATGGCTGTGGACCTTATTGTGAAAGCACACACGCGGTCTCCAAGAAATTTCATGGTGATCCCAAAACCAGGCCAAGATAGTGAGCTGCACAGGGTTCTCAAGTGTTTGCAAACGAGACATCACAATCTTCTCTTAGTGAAGCCCTAAGGCACACGAGCAAGATGGTCTGTTTCTGTTCGATTCTGTGCAGTCAGTAGTTGACTGTACACAGGGTTTAGATGGAGGAAAGCCTATCATTGGAGGGAGAAGGATGGGAGATACTACTCCTGTGATGGAAGATCTCTCCAGTCTTGTCTCTCTGTTTCAAGGCTCTGAGAGGAAGGGATTCGTCTTCTGGGACGTGGTGAAATGCCCAATCACTACTTATGCCAATATTGAAACCGTTGGAAATGATATCAGAGCAGCTCTTCAACGACTCGGCCATCATGGTTGTGTGGAAATCCTGGCGTTTGGTGGTGACAAACTGAACCAGAACCGCCTCAAAGATAAGTTGTACGAAGCCGGAATCATATGCACACCACTAGGTAAATTACTATAGAGTTACTTGACAAACACTCTTCTTATTATTATATATGTCTGTAATTAATGTAATATGTAGATTGATATATTGCTTTGCTTCAGAGTATTGTGAAGCGGCTATGGACCTTTACGCAGAGTCTTTATTTCCAGGGCCTTTGATGGTCATCCCAAGACCAGACCTAGATAGTGATCTGCACAGGTTTCTTACGAGGATGAAACAGATACATCACGATGTTCTCTCAGTAAAGCCGCCGCCTGATGATGAGGACAGCCCACAAGATGATCTGTTTCTTCAATATGCACAGTTAATAATTGGTTGTACAGATGGTTTGTATGGAGGAAAGCCTATCATTAGAGGGAGAACAAGGATGGAAGAAGATACCCATGTGATCCAAGATTTCTCCAGTAAGATGATCTCTCTCCCAAAATAGTAAGATAATGGATAATGGATCATTTAACCTATTTTTTTTTTATCTATTTATTTTGTTTAGAGCCTATCACATTCGTGAAAGGGGAAACGGCAGGAGTGTTCTGGAACCTGGAGGATTTCCCATTCCCTGATGGTTGGAGTCCTGATGCGATCTACGAGAAAATCGAATCAGCGTTTCGTGATGATGGTTATGAGCTGAGTAACATGTTAGTCTGGGCTTATGTTGATGACAAGGAAGGGTCTTGGGGTGGGGATTTCTGAAACACAAGACTTGGGAATCAAGTATCTACTTTCTTCCCGGAGGAGGTGAATTGAAATCACTTATTTGTTTACTTTTTTCTTATATATCTCTAGACTATATATCTCATCAGTTCCAATATTGATGTTTTGCAGGGGAAAGATCTGCAAGACGTAATAGAATGTTACATGACATCCTTTTATGGGCAACGGACTTGGAGTCCTTATTATCATTTTCCAGCGTATTTGGTCGTGGTATCAGATAAAGATAAAGTAAGAGAGGACGAGGAGTTTTCCTGTAGGCTTAGATTGTTGAGGCAGAGAGGTTACAATGTTTTGGTAGTAAGTCCGACTGGGAAGGTGAAGGCCCATGACAGCGAATGGCTACCATCGCTATCTACATACACTTTTGGTAATGAAAGGCGAAGAAGAACTGAGGGAGGGGTCGGAAATTTTGGGGTGATACTCAGCTTCTGTTACTAATCCTAGCCTAGTACGATGGTTGCAGCGGACTTGGAGTCTACTTATTATCATTTTTCCAGCAGATTTGGTCATAGTATCACATAAAGATGAAGTCAGAGAGAACAAAGGAGCTCTTCTCTAGGCTTGAAGTGTTGATCTCTAGTCATTACAATGTTTGGTTCTTAACTCCGAGTGAGAAGGCACATGACACTGAATGGCTAGCCTCACTATCAGATGATATGTACACTTTTGCTAAAAAAAAGCAAAAGCTCAGAACCTTGTTTGTTCATAAAGCCACCCAATTTAGTCGACCATTTGCATCAGTCATGTATTAAATTTATATGTCAGCCTAAGAAGAGCAGATTTTGGTTAATATGATACTAATAAAAAAAATCCAGTGGCTATACATTTGTGTTTAGCTTTCGTGTAGCATTTACCAGCTTCAGCATAGGCGTTAACATCATCATGTTTACTGTTTGAATGCAGATGCATCATGCATAGAAATGTTTTTAGATTCTTTGCGATTTTCTCCTTTCAAAATATTCATACATTTATGGAATATGATGAATTGAAGAAATATAAAATCAATTTGGGTACATGCTAAACTGGAACTTGAAGGCCAATTTTCAATCAATGAGTAAGCCAAATGTACAACTACAAGAAAGAACAAGAAATAAAATAAGCAGAGTGTCGTCAGCAATGACTCAATTACCTTAAACAAGTCCTTTTTGGTTTTATCTTCAACTGTTCAACATATACCTTTGATGACACATGAATGGGTCAAAAAGAAAGCAAAACGGTCCTTTTCCTTTCTTGCCACATGTCCTTAAATAGTACACAATCACTCGAACAAAACAAGAAAAAGAAAACACAACAAGTGAGATACGATGACAGAGAAAGAAGAGGGTGTGAAGCTTCTAGGGTTTTGGGCAAGTCCTTTCAGTCTTAGAGTCGAGATGGCTCTCAAACTCAAAGGTGTGCCTTATGAGTACTTGGAGGAAGATTTGATGAACAAGAGCCCTTTGCTTCTTCAGCTAAATCCGGTTTACAAGAAGGTTCCGGTTCTTGTCCACAAAGGTAAAATTTTACTCGAGTCACATCTGATCCTCGAATACATCGACCAAACATGGAGGAACAATCCAATTCTTCCTCAAGATCCTTTATGAGAAAGCCAAGGCTTTCTTCTGGGCCAAGGTTGTCGATGAACAGGTAAGTCTTCTACCAATTCCTTAATTAACTAATTGATGCATGTATAGGTGATTTCTTGAAACGATTAACACACTGAACACCAGTTAATTCATTGATTTCCCAAGAAAAATATACATAACCAAAGTAAAAACAAATATTTCACTCCTCAAATTTTCCAAATAAATTTATATCTTTTTGCTTAATTCATTTTGACATACCATACCGTTTATATATGTTTCAACGATTCCACAAACATATCAATGCAATTTTTTTTTTTTAAGTTCCAATTAATTTTGTGATGAAACTGTTGAAGGTTACACTAAGGTTCACGTCTCTAGTGAAAGCAGAGAAGGGAATAGAGATTGCAATCAAGGAGGCTCAAGAAATGCTTACTTTTCTTGAGAAGGAGATCACCGGAAAAGATTTATTCGGCGGAGAAACCATCGGATTCTTGGACATGGTCGCAGGAAGTATGATCCCGTTTTGCTTGGCTCGTGGTTGGGAAGGTATGGGAATTGACATGATTCCAGAGGAGAAGTTTCCCGAGCTGAACAGATGGATCAAGAAGTTGAAAGAAATTGAGGTCGTGAGGGAATGTATTCCTCATAGAGAGAAACAAATTGAGCACATGAAAAAAGTTGCTGAGCGGATCAAATCGTCTTAAGAGACATACATTACATGTTTTTATCTCCGCGTTGCTAAAAAGTTGTATGAACAATCTACTCAATAAAAAGGTTGCATGAACAATTTTGATATTGAAATCTTTGTGTGAAAAGTTAAATGTTAAAATCTTAGATAACTATAATAATAACATATTTTTATTTATAGCTAAACATTAAAACTGGTAAAGATTGTAAATTGATAAGTTCCATACGATGAACTAATTTACTTTAAGATGAGTGGTATTGGTTACAAGAAGTATGATAAGAACAGCAAATGTTAGGCTATTGTTATATTATGGCTTTGATTGGTAACAGTTTTACAAAGCATTACAAGTTGTAATGTCAAATATGTAACCAATCACATGAGTTTTACAAATTTGATGGTACAACTAAGGATATTACAAAATGCTGCATTACAATTTGTACTGTCTCATTTTATGTAATGCTACTTTTTGGAGTGGTACACATATGAAATGAATTGTACAGAATTTTTTTTATTTGTTTTAATCACAATTTTCTTTTCTGGTTTTTAGTTCAAATATAAATATCAATATATTAATATTTTAGGGACCCATATTTTATAATAATTGTTAGTAAATATTAATTTAAAATAAACATCAGTGTTAAATATTTTATAATAAGATTTGTTCATAATGACAAATATATATTATAATAATATATCAAAATTTAATATATTTTTAAAATTTTATCATTATAATCTTTTTATGGAAATTTTAAATATAATTAAACTTAAATGTATTGCTAATTTATATTTTCGAAAATAAAATAGAAAATGAAATATTATTATTTATAAAATATTTTTCCTGATTTAATCCTTCTTTTTTCATATTTTTATTATAAAATTATTATTTTTATTACAATAGTACTATTGTACTACTATGATGTTACCAATCAAAACTAATGTTTGTACCGTCATTTTACAAAATCGATATTTGTAATACTATCTTTTGTACCACCTATTTTTGTACTGTTATCTTTTGTACCATTAAAAAAATTGTAACACACTACTATTCGTTACCAATCGGACCCTATATGTAAAGCTTGGTGATGAAGATAAAATATTAAAGTGACGTCAGCGGTGATGTAAAGACATTCTAGATGTCCTTCGATGATACCCATGAAATGATGTATATACATTGTACTTAAAGCCTAAAGGGTCCGTTTCTTGAATTTTCTTACGACGACTTGTCTTTATATAGTACTCAATCAGAAAAAGAAAGTGAGATCCAATGGCAGAGAAAGAAGAGAGTGTGAAGCTTCTAGGGTTTTGGGCAAGCCCTTTCACTCGTAGAGTCGAGATGGCTCTCAAACTCAAAGGCGTGCCTTACGAGTACTTGGAGCAAGATATTGTCAACAAGAGCCCTTTGCTTCTCCAGCTAAACCCGGTTTACCAGAAGGTTCCGGTTCTTGTCCACAATGGTAAAATATTAGCCGAGTCACATCTGATCCTCGAATACATCGACCAAACATGGAAGAACCATCCAATTCTTCCTCAAGATCCTTATGAGAAAGCCATGGCTTTCTTCTGGGCCAAGTTCGTTGATGAACAGGTAACTCTTACACAAATTCCATTATTAACTAGTTGCATAAATAATTCTTTTAGAAAATGATTAACACTTTACAACAACTCTTCAATACATTTTAGTTTAAAATTTTTCCAAGAAAATACTATTAAACCAAAAACAAAATAGAAATGTCATCCCCCAACTTTTCAATAGCATTATTTAATTTTCATTTTTCTTTTGTAACATACAATTTCGTAATTATTATTTGGTTTCTCAACGAATCCACAAGAACGGCATTAACTCCAATTAATTATGTTATAAAACGGTTTCTATCGTGTAGGCTGGACCAGTTGGATTCAAGTCTGTGGTGAAAGCAGAGAAAGGAATAGAGGTTGCAATCGAGGAGGCTCAAGAACTGTTTGCTTTTCTTGAGAAGGAAATCACCGGAAAAAACTTCTTCGGCGGTGAAACCATCGGATTCTTGGACATGGTCGCAGGAAGTATGATACCGTTTTGTCTGGCTCGTGGTTGGGAAGGTATGGGAATTGATTTGATTCCGGAGGAAAAGTTTCCAGAGCTAAACAGATGGATCAAGAACTTGAAAGAGATTGAGTTTGTGAGGGAATGTATTCCTCATAGAGAGAAACAAATTGAGCACATGAAAAATGTTGCTAAGCGAATCAAATGGGCTTAAGAGACATACATGTTTTTTATCGCCGCGTTACTAAAAAAGTAGTATGAACAAGCTTTCGATTTTATTAAATAAAAGATAAAATGGTATTATGTATCCACAACATAAAAAGGTCAAACTATCCGTCTCCACAACACTAAAATCAGTAAAATAATGTATGTGTTGATACCCAAATTTGTTACGGCACGACTATCAGTCTATTTTTGTCGGCTACTATCAATCTAATGTATCGCATTTTTTCAACTATCAGTCTAATTTATCGCATTTTTCCAACAATATTTATCTAAATATTTGAAAGTGATGGTGTGACTTGTGAGTCTTGCGCTCACGTAATCACCGATACAGTGTCACCAAAACTAATAAAAATATGGTAAAATAATTTCGGATAAAATCATTTTGATGGTGATTCATTGAAGATTCCAAAAACGTGAAGAACCCGGCCTCTCCTCTCTCATGCAGTCATGCATACCATAAAATAAGGTAAAATACCCAAAGTACCCTACAATTCAACACTGGAATTAAACATCATCCAGATGTTTCGCTTTCGGATTCACATTATAGCCGTCCACAAAACGGTAAAGTTTAACGTCGTTTTGGCCGCAATCAAAACCCTACGACTATAAAATCAAAGTTAGGTGAAGCTGTAAACCGAAGAAGTCACCAAAACAACGAAAAGCCATTTGTAACAGAGGAGAGAGATCTGATGGCCGAGAAAGACGAAGTGAAGCTGTTGGGGATATGGGCGAGTCCGTTTAGCCGTCGGATCGAGATGGCTCTGAAACTCAAAGGCGTACCGTACGATTACGTCGAAGAGATTCTGGACCAGAAGAGCCCTCTGCTTCTCGAACTCAACCCTATCCACAAGAAGGTTCCAGTTCTCGTCCACAACGGTAAAATCATCATCGAGTCTCAGATCATTCTCGAATACATCGACGAGGTTTGGAAGCACAATCCTATTCTCCCTCAAGATCCTTATGAGAGATCCAAGGCTCGATTCTTGGCTAAACTCGTCGATGAACAGGTTTATAATCTCTCTCTTAAAACTAATTAGCTTCAAAATTCGCCAATTTGTTCTTCTAATTTGTGTATTTAGTGATATTAGGTTTCGAGATTGAGTTAATTTGTGTATTTAATCTCTCTTAGATTTGATTTTTTTATATTTAATCTGATATGTTTTGATCAGATATCGAGGATTTCAATACTTTAATCAGTTGGGTTACAAAAGAAAAACAATATTTAGCTAATTAACTTTTATTAAACCATTATGTAATCTTATCTCTGACATTTCAGATTGAATTACTGGTTAAATATTAAAAAATTGTTTAGATTTGATTTGATTTTAACCCAACATGTTTTGAATAATACTTTAACCAGTTAATTAATTTTCACTAAACTCAATTTGTAATATTATCTCTGACATTGCAGGTTTTAATTACGGGTTTTGTAATGTTGGCGAAAGCAGACGAGAAGGGAAGAGAAGCTGTGGTTGAGCAGACAAGAGAACTGATCATGCATCTGGAGAAGGAGCTTGTCGGAAAAGATTTCTTCGGAGGTAAGAGTGTCGGATTCTTGGATATAGTCGCCGGAAGCATGATTCCGTTCTGTGTGGCGAGAGGTTGGGAAGGGATGGGAGTGGAAGTGGTTACAGAGGAGAAGTTTCCAGAATTCAGCAGATGGGTGAAGAATCTTGAGAAGGTTGAGTTTGTTAAGGATTGTATTCCTCCGAGAGAGAAACATGTTGAACACATGAACTTTATGGGTGGGAGAGCCAGATCGGGTTAAAGTTGTGAAGACAGACGAGATCATGTTTAGTGCTTGATCCAGTGTTTTAAAGTTTAATGTAATGCTTTAATGTTTGGAAACTTGTTGTCTGTTTTTTTAATAAATAATACATTTTTCTTTTAGCTTTTTGGTTTGTGGTTTAGATGAAGTTTATGTGGATGAGATTAATTTATAATATCATAGATTCATAACTCTAACTCTAAGCATGGAAGACTTTGTAAAAAGGTTTAGTTTGGTCCCCATGAAAGACTTTGGTCCCCTCTAAAGCTACAGCTATAGCTAAATGAATCAACCACAAAATATGACAGATTTTGTAACAATTCTTTTCTTAGTGGCAAAATGATTTAATACCACGGTTTATGGTCCAGAGGAAGGTGCGGTTTGATACCACAAATTGTGGACCGGATCGTAACTAAAGCATGCTCTGAAATGAAACTATTGGTAGATCTCAACCAAGAGCTTAAAAAACAAAACTATTTTTTGCAGAAAATTATCTCTTTTTTATTTCTTGTTTTTCATCTTCCATTAATCCAACTTGTTAATTTACTTTAAGGTTTGCACTGTATGTTAGTTGTCTTCATCATGACCTTTCTTTATCAATTCCTCGTTGAAGCTATCTCACGAAGGTCCTAATCAGAATTATCATCTACACTTGCACAAACAAAGATTTGAGTATTTGGGTAGCCCGGGTAGGAGTGGATCAAAATCTCAGAATTTCTCTTAGAGCACAATGTTATAAAATAATTTAATAAACTAAAATATTATACTAATAAATAAAAATTCTTACATTTCTACATTTTAGAACCTCAAGAAAAATCGTTATTCAACACCCTCCAAATTCAAAAGCTTATATACTTTCAATTCGTTAAGAAAAAAAGATTTAATAAGGCATTAAAACAAAATTTGGGGGTGGGAGGGAAAGGCGAGGAAACGGTTAACCGCAGAAACTAAACTAAGTCTCAACAGAACCACCTACGAACCAAACCCAACCCAATGGTCTACAATTGGAGACGAGCCTCTTATTCAAATCATCGACGTTTTTTCATTATTTTTCGCGGGGGAAACGCCGGCGAAACACCCCCAATAGTTTCATTCCCATTACGGGAGGGTTCAGGGTTTAGTTGGTACTAAGCAGACTCATCTCCAGGGTCCCACCCCGTTGCCATTTGTCACCAAGCCTTTATCTATTTAAACCACCCAACACAAACCTCTTCCTTTCGATGTGGGACAAAATAAAAACATTTCTTCTTAAAACCATTTTCGTCACTCATGACGTCAACTCTATTTACTCTCACATCATGTTTGACCTGTTGACTATTATCATCATAAAGTGAGAAGAAGAAAGAAGCATAGAGAGAGAGACGATAATGGCGGAAGAGAGATCGGAGGAAGTGAAGCTGTTAGGGATGTGGGCGAGTCCTTTCAGCCGTCGGATCGAGCTAGCTCTCACGCTCAAAGGTGTTCCTTACGAGTTCTCCGAGCAAGATATCACCAACAAGAGCTCTTTGCTACTCTGGTTGAACCCGGTTCACAAGATGATTCCGGTTCTTGTTCATAACGGTAAACCAATCTCGGAATCACTCGTGATCCTTGAATACATCGATGATACATGGCGAGACAATCCGATTCTTCCTCAAGATCCGTATGAGAAAGCTACGGCTCGCTTCTGGGCCAAATTTGTCGACGAACAGGTCCGTATGAGATTTATGTGATTTCAGTTTCAATTTCACTAACCGGTTCGGATTTTAACCGGTTATTGCGGGACTCTTTTAGATTTATGTGACGGCGATGAAAGTGGTGGGGAAGATCGGAGAAGAGAGAGACGACGCGGCTGTGGAAGCGACGAGAGATCTGTTGAAGTTATTGGAGAAAGAGCTAGTCGGGAAAGATTTTCTCGGCGGGAAAAGCTTAGGCTTCGTGGACATTGTGGCGACTCTGGTGGCGTTTTGGCTGATGAGAACGGAAGAGATCGTCGGCGTCAAGATTGTTCCGGTGGAGATATTCCCGGAGATTCACAGATGGGTGAAGAATCTTTTGGAAATCGATGTTGTTAAGAAATGTATCCCTCCCGAAGATGAACATCTCAACTACATCAAAGCTCGCATGGATCGCCTCAAAATCAAACCGGTTTGAATGTTTGACTACAAATTACACTAAATAATTTCAATAATCAAAAGGTGTCTTCCTTTGTTCTGTCTTAAGCTTACAATTCCAAAAAAATATATAACCTTTTTGCTTGCTTTATCTTGCCATTTGAAAATATTTGTTGTTCTTTGTGCTTCTTTACTTGATTAATATTTTTTGTGTTAAATATCAAAAAACTTGTAACATTTGAACACGTACCGTTTGTATAGTCTACAAAATTTGAAAGGACATAATGTTCTTGGCTATAAACGAATTAACGATAACGATTAAACTGAGTTGTCCAAGATGGGAAATCAGTATTATCTTTACGGAGTTTTATAGTTTTAAATAATAAATTTAGCAGTAGCAGTGACAAATTTTGTTCTTGCAAAATCCACCTTTCCCGCAGCCTTGAAGACACCACTTGTTGCAACTCGTATCAGAACAGACTCCAAGTTCAGGATGATCCCTGCAACACAATGAAGCTCCTTTGTTGGGAGACCAAACCGAACTTTCACTCACCACTTCTATAGCTTTTTTTTTTTTTTTTGAATTGAATGTCAAATTATATCCAAACAAAAAAAGGCTTTGTTACAATGCATCGTCTTTTGAGTTTTGAGAAAATGAGCAAAAAAAACAGAGAGCTAAATATTACAGAATTAGTTTAGTGGCTTGCGAACCAAGCTTGCATCCCATCCTCGTATCTCACGTCTCCCACTTCTATAGCTTCAATTTCTGTAAAATAACACACACAAACATATGCATTCAAGATTTTGGTTTAAAAATAAAATAAAAAGGTGTTTAATAAGGTGTTGATCTAACTAATGAGACTAACTTGCAAGTAAAACGGAGGGAGCAATGAAAGCAAAGAAAACAAATCTTGAATGAACCATTTTCTTAGAATCTTTTTAACTCTATAGCTTAAATGAGTGTTTCGTGAGAATTGTAGATTAATACAAGTGCTTATTTTTATATATAAGATTTCACTTGCTTGTTGAAAAGGAATTAAACTACATATTAACCGCATATATTCAACATTTATTAACAAGGAAATAACGTACTATTCAAATTAGTGACATATAGTACATATATATGCTGACAGACGTACATTTGTAGAAACCTAAATATACTTGACATGATAAATCTTTTGAGTAAACTAAAACAGTCAAAAGTTGATTCAGTTATATACTCTACCAGAGCCGTGCAAGAACAAAGGAAGACACCTTGTTTATTTCTTAAACTTTGGATTATTTCTCCCAAAAAGAGCTGACTAGGTGAGGATTGATTAAGGGGAGAAACTAATTGAATGATTTATTAAGGGGGCAAATTGACCAAGAGATGTGAAACCGATAACTATGCTTAAGTAATGTATGCAGTCAAATTATCTACAATCATCATTAGGGAATTTTCAAACTTAATTCTTCAAAAGGTCGTTTTACAAACTCATTCTTAATTAGGCTTCCATTGTAGGGGAAAGGTTAAAGCTAAGAGCAAATTAAAGGCAATGGAGAGCTTGGGCACACTTCTTTAGAAAAAAAAAAAAAAAAAGAAAAGAAAAAAGTAATGAGGCGTTTCTGCGAGTAGAAGTTTTGGAATCGTGTGTGAGACCGAACTCGCCACATGTCACCACCCCATTCGTCAATTGTTTTTTTTTAATCGTAATTATATTCGATTTTTTTTTTTAATTATTTTTAAAGAAATTCAGCCGAATTATGCGTTGCATGTGCTATAAGGAAAACGACCAAAGTAAACTAGGAGTCTAGAACTCTACTTTTATTAGCTAAGAGCATATGCATTGCATATACCCATATAGGTTTCTTTAAACATTTAATATATTAAAAAAAATATTATTTTAGTTAAAGAGATTTGGGAAGAAACTTGATAATTATGCTACAACATTGCACATCTCCATATGGGTTTCTTTAAAAAAAATTTGTTTTTTTTCAAATATTTATAAAATGCAAAACTCAAACATTGATAGAAAAAAATAAATAAAAGAGAGATTCAGATGCAAAATACAAATTTTTGGTTGGTTCATGCAAAAATCTGATGATAATCGCCAAACCAAGTCCAATGGCCACAAGAGAAGACGCCCACGTTAGTTTCTTTGTGATCCTAGGAACCTTCTCCTTCAACGCCTTGCTACACGACCCTATAAACACCGTGTAGCTTCCCATTGCAATCACCGTCCCAACCAAGAACATGAAACAGAAACGCAACACCGGTTAGGCAGAGCAAGTGCAGGCATCTCCATATACAGTAATACACATGAAGCTTGACCTCGAGATATCGAAATGTGAAACAACGTCTCTCCATGTGTCCCAATCATCACCTGTAATTCTGTACATGTTAACCAATTGATATCAAACTGAACTGAGATAAAGAATGTTATGTTATATGATGAAATCAACTCTCTTCTCGTACTAAAATCAACTCCCCATTCTGCATATTGTCGATAAAGAGACCTCAAGAAGGCTTTTCCTGCACCAAGCCTAGCGAACGCAGGTGGCGCAAAAGCAAAGCCACAACAGAGATTAGCATGACTGCTCCAAATGATATAGTGTGCAAGAAAACACATGAAACAACCTGAAGATATGTACACAAAGAAAACAAGAATTCGGAAATAAAAAGGAAGACTTTTTACAGTAAACTGAATCACACTACTAAGCAAATCCACTGATCCTAGACTTCCTCCTCTATTAGACACTTGACAAAGATCCACCAAAGATGCTACAGCCTACAGGTAAAAAGCTATACAACCCCTGAATATTCACATATGCAATTGGAGATACAATATTCACATGAGCAACACAACCCCTGAATCATAGAGTCTTATTTAGAAACAGAGAGATGAAATTTGAAGAGAGATTTGGTGGTGGTGGTACCGAGGAGATTCCAGAGAGCAGCGAGCTGACAAGACGGAGATCGGGAGGCTGTTGAGAAGTGCGTGGATGAAGAGGATTCCTCTGTAAATGCCAATCACAACAAAGTCGGATCCTTCGTACCCGCCCCGTTTTTTACCGCCGGTGGAGAGAAGCACGATCACCTAAATCAGCTGCGCCAGAGAGAAGTAATCGGCGACGAATTCTGGCGGAAGAGGCAGAACGAAGGAAAAGAGGAACAAGATGAAGGAGAAGAGGAACAGAACGAAGAAGAACGTCTAACAGAGGAGAAATTTGCAGAGGTTGAAGAAGAAGATTTGGAGATTTGCCGATTTTCAGAGCAAAGGAGAAGCGGAGAAATGAAGAGAGAAAATTAAAAAAAAAAATCACCGGCTCGATGTGCATCTGACACGTGGCCGGAAGAAACGTATATTGGGCTGCTTCCGGGAGAGACGTCTCTCGGGGTTGAGCTTGCCACCTCAGAAATTAAATCCATTTGTTTTTTTCTTTTGGGCTAAAGAAACGGTGTGAGTATGTGCGTTGCATGTGCTCTAAGGATAGATAACAGATTATGAGCTAAATAAGAAGATATATATGTAGGGCACTCTACTTTTCCCCAAAAATTCATGTTTTTGGTCAATATAACAAACAAAAGATCATCACAAGCGAAAGGGTATCTTAAAACTCTTGTTCGTCTCAGCTATCTCCTTCACACTTGTCCATGATTTTCTCTTGCTATGATTAGATCCACCAACAATTGTTGCTTTCTCAGGAACACTCTCTGGCTCCATCGGTTTCTTACATTTGGATTTTCTGATTCTCTTATCCCTCTCCAAGGTAAGCATTGGCTTCGATGTATCGACAACGACAACACTATTCTCCACACGATCTTTCTCACTTCGTTCAGGTGAAGAAAGCATGTTACAGTTATATACGCTTGAATCTTAACACTAGTTCCCCTTAATCCTTCCTACCAAATTCTTGTTTTTTTTTTTTTTTTTTTTTGTATCTCTGGTATCCGGGTCCGAGGAGTCGACCGAACAGTCACCGACCAGTCCTGGGGCCCAAACCGATGGTTTGAGCTTTGTCCAGCTGTATCCAGTTATTCCGAGGATCTAACCCGAACGGGAAACCCGACTATCCCCTCGAAAGGGGTCCAGGGCCCCAACGGAAGGGATGTTAAATCCGTTGTGGCCAAGTGGATTCGAACCCGGATCCATATTGGGACTTACCTCCCTCAAGTACCACTGGGATACGACCACTTGGTTTACCAAATTCTTGTTAGTGTCAGAAAATGATCATTTGAAATGCAGCAAGCATTTGTGATTCATGAAAGCAGGAGAAGCACCTCAAGATCCTTGTGAAGAGGAATAATTTGGATTTTGGGAACTTGAAGCTAGCTAGCCGTATTAGTCCAGTCCCATAAAACTGATCCTCCAAGCATGAATTGAATGTTCTTGTCCCGTAACGTAACGCTTATGATACACCATACAAGTTACTAGATTAACATATTCTTCCAAGGATATTACATAATAATATGATTCTCAATATGATTGTATAAAGGATAGTTGGAAACCTTACATAATGTGCTTTTCCTCTTACAAGGACAAGGTCAGGATTTCAATGATATATGCTTATTAACTCGAGAGAAAGAGAAAGATGATTTTTTAAAACTGAAATAAAATTAATTTCAAAAATAAAAGCTTCAAATCAAGTCAACAACAGTCAACAGTGAGTCAGAGCATAAGGAAAAAAGTTTACATAATTATCGATTAAAGGGCATTAGGTCCTGTCATGGATCTTTTCTTGTGAACACGACGAGACAAGCCGTCTTTATATGCCTTGAGCCGCCTAGGACTAAATAACCGCCGCCACATTTTGGTAAAACCAAGTTGCTTAGTCCTCCTCAGCTTCTTTTTGGGAATAATTTCTCTGGTCTGGCCGACTAGAGTGAATGATCCATAGAATTCATTAAAGGCTCTTCTGACTGTAGCTAGGCGATCAACAGCATGCTGCTTACCAAGTCGAGCATCCTCCTACGGGTCCTTGTACCTTATGTAGACAATTGCAAAAAGCTTCGAGTCCTCGAGTCCCTCTTCCACATCTTGTCTACTTGTATCTACAGCCACTTTTACAATCTTCAAGTCGGACAGATCATGATTCTTAACGCGGCTCCTATTCGTCGTGGCAATAGCAAGTTCCAAGTAGAGACGAATCCAGTCGTTATTCACTTGTACCTCTGACTTCTCCAGCTTGTATGCAAAAATAATAATAATCACGACTCATGAACAAGAGCGAAAGCAAAAGTCAAGGCAAAGTGAGTGCATGTTGGTCTTAATCTTACCAGGCGACATGGCTTTGACTTTGAGTTTTCGCTTTCGCTGCTTCTCTTGATATCACCTATGTTGGTAAGATGAGCAAATTTTTTAAGTGACTATATATATACACACAATTAGTTAATGCTTCACGTAATTACCTAGAGGCCTAGCGATATCGCACTTCAAATTCATTTCGCCATACCTAAGTTCCTGAACTTTCGTCTGAAAAGTGAGAGGCGAATTGGTAGCTGGATCCATGGCTTCCAAAGTTATGTAGTAAAGGCAAGGAGCACACCATGTGGACTTGTTGTATTTCTTTACGCTGATGAGCTCTAAGTTTTTTCCCTAATATGATCAAGAAAGAAAAGCAATCGATTCAGTTGAATGTACATATGGAACATATATAACAAGGAAAGTCATATATATATATATATACTTAGATTATATACCTGGAGCATATTGTAACGATGAAGGCCTATTCTGGCATAAAGCACGAGTAAGCGAGAACATCCCTAATATATTAAAAGAGAAAACACTATAAAATAAACCTTTGTCTCATGTGTTATTAACAGAAATGCCATGCTGATGTGTCAACACCAGGTTCACTTTCAAGGTTAGTTTTAATTAAGACAAACATTACTAGACTAATTACATGTTATGCCATTCATATTTGGTTAGAGAATGAAATATATATGATTAATTTAGTCAGAAAAATAATTATTAATGAAAATTATTTTCTTTCAGTTTCCTTATTTGGTAATGACGAAAATTTATTTATTAGTCAATCAATCAGTAAAATATGGAAAGTTTTATTCAATTGTATTATATTAATTGTTTAAAAATTAATTTATTCATCTATCATTTTTGTTTAGCTTTACTTTCAAGAATAAATTATATCATCACATCAAAATATTTAAAAAAAGAAAATTAGTTTTTTTCTACATATGCTATGGTTTGAATTTTTAAAAATGAAGCAAATCTCTAAAAATGTTAAATGTCCCACATGATTATATTTTGGGATAATAGTTCAAAAACCTATTATAAAATAGGATCCAAATAATGATCAACCATAATCACAAATAGGAAAGAAAAATTTACCATGTTTGGAAATCTTTAAAATTTTTTTATTCGATTTAATTTGATTCTTTAATTGAATTAAATAATTAAATCGTATTTTGGTTTGATCAAAATTTTAAACGTAATAAATTCTAATAACTTATCATATAAGTTAAATTATTTTAGTTATTTAAAATTGATAAAAACATAAAATATATATGCCATTTTATATTTATCAAAATATAAAATTATTTTAAATGTATTAAAATTTAATATATATGTGGGTTCGGAAAGGGAGAAACTGTTGTTAAAGCAAATGTTAGATTACCACACTGTAAACGATGACAAAAATCAAACCAGGCTAAAAAAATATGCATCACTCAAAATTTCGTCTAATGTAAATTGACATTTTTTTAATTGTCTAACACTCTATGTTCCTAAAATTGTATGTAAATAGACATCTTTTAATAAAATCAAATTGAGAAAATATCACCCCGTGCAAGGCGCGGGTCAAACTCTAGTGTACCATTACTACAAATGACTTCCAACAATTCATCACTAAAGGGTGGTGCTTTAAGACCACTCACATCGAACCCCTAATTTAAACCCATTATTTAGCAAGTTTTTTTTTTCATGAAAAAAATAGGGTAGATCATGAAAGAATACAATTTACCTCGGATTTCTCCACTCCTTGCTCATACTCACGCGTCCGGCGATCAAACTCCTTCTTACCCTCTTTTGTTGGAATCAAATGCCACATCAACCGCAAAAGCGCCTTCTCTCTCTCACCCGACATCTTATTGCGAGATTCTTTTATTTTTGTCGATTTTGGGTTTCTCCACTCGATTCTAATTACATATACCCTTATCCTCATTTCTGCGGGCTTTCAATTGGCGGGCCTTCAAAATCTGGAACTTTCCTGCTTCGATTCTATGTAACAGATTCTGTCCCGTCTTAAGCTTACAATTCCAAAATTTCCGACAAATAATTTAAAACCGTGATCTGTTCTTGTGGTGTAATAAGAGTTTTCTTTAAAATTTGTAAAAAATCTAAAAACATTTCTTCTTTGTTCTCTCTGTTTTAGCTACTCTGATTCAACCTGGACAGTTACATGATAAATCCCAAAACTTTTCCTACAGAAATTTCTAACATCAGAGATAATCTCTTTAGAGCTAGCTCCGGTTTCAGACAAGACATGGCAAGACAAAACAACCCTCCCAACTGTGATCTCCCAAACATGAAGATCATGCACAACCTTAACACCGTCGATACGCCTGAGACCTCTCTCGAGCTTCTCTATGTCGACATCGCGCGGTGCGCGCTCCATGAGTATCCCAAATATGTTCTTGAGCATTGGTAGAGTAGCGGCAAGAGCAAAAGCAGAGAAGACAAGAGTGCATAACAAATCAACCAAAACCCAGTTTGGTTTCGCCCAAATGATTCCTCCACCTATCATAACACCAAGTGACTGAATCATATCCGCCATTGCATGTAGATAAGCTCCTTGTATGTTAATGTTCATCTCTTTCGATGACGGTTTCTCCTCGAAACCACCTTTTAAAGGATCCATCTCCTCCTCTTTCTCTTCCTCTTTGTGACAATGGTTATGATGATGATGATGATGATGATGATGGTGAGGGTGGTGGTGATGGTTATGTCCTAACCAAATGACCATGACCAAGTTCATGAAAAATCCGAAAGCAGAGATCCCAAACATGATTTCACCATTAACATCTCTGCTTCTGGTGAGAAGTCTTTGAATGGCTTCGTAGATGATAACTCCAGAGACGAGCCAGATGAGCTGGACAGACAAGAAAGCTGCTAAAACTTCAAGCCGTTTAAACCCGAAAGAGCTTCTCGGGCTCGCTTCCCAGATCGAGACCTTGATCGCGAGCAGAGAGACGCAGAGACCCGCCACGTCTGTAAGCAAATGCGCGGCGTCTGTCATGACCGCGAGGCTGTTGGCCTTGAAACCTCCGACGATCTGCACGGTCATGACGATCAGGTAAAGAAAGATGAGGCTGCTTAATCTGCTGATCGATTCTTCACGTTCTTTGGATTCGGAAACGCATTGTTCTTGTCTCGTGAACGCGCAAGACAGAGGTGTGATCAGTCCTCCATTTTCCTCTGTTTCTGATGATGATGATGATGATGGCTCGATTTCTTCGTCGTCGTCATCGTCAGGCTTCGAAATGTGGATTTGTTCCAATTCCATTAGCTGTTTGTGCATTTCAAAGGCTTGTATTAGAGAGGGATAACAGCATTTTGATCTCTCTTGTGGATCTTCTTATGATTAGGGATTTGAATAAACCCAAATTTGTTTTGTTCAAGAAAACGAACCTGTGAAGAATCAGATGAAGAGGGGAAACGAATATGAATTCGGGTGCTGTCTTCGTCGGAAATCTTGAATTTTATATTATGGTTAGAGAGAGAAAGACATCATTCGTAAGAACAAACATAAAAAAGAAACCAATGATCCAGCAAAAATGGGAGAAGAAGAGTTTATAGATGTAAACAAATCAAGAATATGGAATATGGGATTTTCTATTTGTTTTTACGAAAGTGGAAGAATCTTAAAAAAGTCAGTCGCTGTGGCTTGAGATAGGTGAAAAAGAATAATCTTTTTCTTTAATAGGGGAATAACGAAAAAAGCATTATATGTTTGTATTTGTGCACTTTAGGGGATATATTTAATTTTGGTCATTTTTTTGTTTCGTTTGGTGTGTGTCTGTGTATTTGTATGAGTTCTTGTACTCTTGTATTATTGTATTACCAAATGTGGCGTTCATGTTGATCAGGTGAACAAATTGGACCGACTCTTCTTGTTCTTAATATGGACCCAACTAATTTTCTTGTATCTATTGTAAAGTCAAGACGACGTGTTGTTGTGTTCTTTTTTGGGGTGCAAATGTGAGACGTGTTGTGTTTTTGTTTCTTTGTTTTTCTTTTTTTAAATAAATCTATTAAGGTTTTAAACTCTGATATTAAGGTTTTAGGTAATGTAATTGTCCGTGTTGAGATAGTTCTTTAACAAAACTATCTTATAAGCACATGTATGCATGCATGGTAATTCTAAAACTAAAAGCAGACATTAGATAGCATAATGACCAAAACATCGATTTGAGTTTAGGAGCTTATCTCACACTTTCCCATTTTCTTGTCTGGATCGTTGTTGATTCTTTGTAATTTGTAATCGCTTCTATTAAAAGAAACGTAAAGCCAAGAAAATAGTCTAATTAAACTACATATCACCAAAAAAGTTCTTTTGTTTTGATTTGGGACCAAAAGGTCCAAAACTAAACTAGCATTTGGTATTATAGCAGTTCAACACTTCAACACTTCAACCTTTCAATTTTCGTCGTAACAAAAGAAAATCAAAGATATATTGAATGTCAAGCTTGTGCGATAACAATAAAATCGTAAGCTAAGACAACAGAACTTTTAATGGCAGATTAAGATTAACACGTTTCTCGTTTTTCTAACGTGTTTTAAATACATAAAAACATATGGAACAACAGATGGTTCTATGGTCTAGCGGTTAGGACATTGGACTCTGAATCCAGTAACCCGAGTTCAATTCTCGGTAGAACCTATTTTTTACCATTTTTTTGTTTTTATTAAACAGAACAAGAAAAGACATATGGAAACCCACATAACGTTCTTGAAGAATACCTTAATAGTTGAGAAGGTTACAGTAACAATCAAATTTATCAAAAAAAAGATAAAGTAACAATCAATAAGTAAAATCCATGTAAGCATTTTGGATCATATATGTGCGCATGACATGCATGACTAGCAAACAAGGAAAGAATCCAGGATCACTCTGTTCTATGTGCATTTTTCACTGGGCCTAACATTTTCTAAAGCCCAATTTTGAATAAATGTTGTAGGGTCAAATTTATTAATCTGTATGATAATTAGACCCGAAATTAGATGATAGCTCATAACGTAAGTTTAGGGTATTAAATTTTGAATTCTAGGTTTATTATGTTTGTTTTCCTTCTATTTTTTCAGTTAATTGCATTGGGCCTTGCCATGATTGAGCCTGTGAACGCTTTCGACATTTCAGATCTTTTCCATCATTGCATGGCAATTAACGAGTTAACGTATAGTGACTCTGTATTTCAATTTTTCAATTCTCCCTTAGAAAACATTAAACTGAACCACTATTTTCTGATAGAGCTTTTGGTCTCTATTTACATGAAAACATGTAAACATTAGATGATTTCTTGAGCGTTGGCCAAAACCAATGATCTGCCTCGGCAACCTATTGTGACTTTGTTATATGCTTTGCTGTAATGAGTTCCTCATAATACCTCACTAATGAGTTTTTTCATATAAAAAGCAAAAAAAGCTAAGAATAGTGCTTTAGCTTGACAAGGTCGATTTTGGAGTGATGAAAGCTTGATTAGATAATGGCGCAGTAACAGTGTAACACGATGATTGTCTAACCAACTCAATGCACGTCAATTTGTGGAAATTGTTGAAGAACTTTCTCTTAAATATAATATATAAAATGTCAGATGCATGACATAAATCAGACATTATTAGAAAAAGACTATAGGTCGAAAACTTGTATCTTCAATACATAAACAGTAAAACCATATATCATTGGGATCACGATTTCCATGCCATTTATATGCTATAGAAAATCAAAGTCAACCAATTTGCGGAAAAATAATTCTATTAGTTTATCAATATCCGTACTTTCTTCTTGTTTTCGGACGACTTATATCACTACATCATCAATCAGAGAGTATAATTAGAAAAATACTTGATCGAGTCATCATCTGCAACGAAACTAGTAGAAAAAGACTTCACACGTGTTCACACCCAAATCAAGAAAAAACACAGTTGAGATATACTACATTTGATTCTAGACTTTCTAGTTCGGTCTTTTGAGTTAACGACGATTCTTTGGTTGTTTTTGTATTACTATATAAAAACACATATTAAAAGGTTTGGGTATGAATAATCAAAATATTCATACCCAAGTGTTTCTCCATTTTAGGGTATTTCTCAATTAAAAATTTGACTAAATTTATAAATGAACTGAGAACTCTAACAAACCCTTGCGAAAAGAAGACTGAAATGTGAGACAGTAGTAGAATCTAAAATTGATTTGATAGATGGCCCTATCAATAATTCTGAAAATTCAATAATTTATTTATTTATTTTGCAATTTTTCCATGGAGATGGAGGCAAGCAAAACATTTGTTGGTTAATTTTGGATTGTTTATTTTTCATTTAGAAAAGACATGTCCTTTATAAAAAAAACATGACATGTAATTTATTTCTATGAAGATTTTTGGTTTATTAAAACGTCTATTCAAAAACAAAAATATTACAGAAAAAAAAATCACTCATCTGATAATATTTGAAATGCAAGAGAAAAACCTGAGTATTTTTTTTATTAAAATCTGAGTATTAAAATATTTATTTGTGCATTTTTCCATTTACTTGACTTATACCCAGTTTCCATTTATCTAATTTCTCTCCAAAAAGTTATCATTTTCTTAATCCCACCCTCCAAAGCGTGTCATTAGCTACGTATGTTTGATCTACATTGCCTCTATATAAGTTATGTGACATCTCCGGTCATTTATACTCACAGGCAAACAATAACCTTTTCTACAAAAATATATAATACTCACAAATCAAACAAAAAATGGATAAAAGATGGAGTCTTCAAGGTATGACTGCTCTTGTAACTGGTGGAGGCAGCGGAATCGGGTTATTTTTTCTACTCTCTATGCTTATATAATATTGTTTTTACCCGTTGTTTCTGCTTTCCTATAGTAAAATGTCGCTAATTTTGTTTTGTTTCTTGTTGTGGAATGTTTTAGGCATGCCATAGTAGAGGAGCTAGCCGGTTTTGGAGCTATAATCCATGTATGCGACAAGTCTGAAACACTGCTCAATCAAAGTCTAACCGAATGGGAAAAGAAAGGGTTTCAAGTGAGTGGTTCGATCTGTGATGTATCCTCTCGTCCCGAGAGAGAAAAACTTATGCGAAACGTCTCAACAATGTTCAATGGCAAGCTTAACATTCTTGTAAGTTAATCGTAATGAAACTAAGCAGATTCTCATGTATGAAAAATTCTATTAAATAGTAACGTATATATGAGGGTTTTTATTACTGTTTTTGGTTCTACATAGGTGAACAACGCTGGTGGACTTCGCACTAAGCCAACAATAGAATACGGAGCAGACGATTTCTCGTTCCATATTTCAACAAACATAGAATCTGCTTATCATCTTAGCCAGCTTTCACATCCACTCCTAAAGGCTTCTGGAGTTGGTAACATCATTTTTATTTCCTCTGTTGGAGGAGTTGTATCAATGGACTGTGGATCTATCTATGGTTTAACCAAAGGTACATAGACTGAAGTAGATAAATTTTCAATTAAAATAGAGGCATGCAATAGTATTAAGGGTACTTCATATATATTTCATTATGTTAATACAAACTATATATTTAGCTAGGAGAATTTTCAGTCACGTGTAACAAATTTAAATGATGTTTGGTGAAAACTGAATTTAATGTTAAGTTAGGTTAATAAGTTGATTTACACATATCATCTCTTCGAAATTCAAAAATATAGGTCCCTAGTGTCAAAATATTCAGAACATATATAAAGAGAGATGGATCATATCTTATATATAATTAGGGACTTGCTCTCTCCATTTGAGAGTGTCCACATCAGCACAAAAAAAAAAATTGTATTTAAAATATTTAATAAATATATGACTATTCATATTTCTTTACATTTATTCATATTTAATAAAAATATACAAATAAATTGATTAATTAATAGAAAGTATGTGATAATTTGATGTTCAAAGTTATCAAAAAGTTGGAATATAAAATAGAGATGGAGTAAAGAAATATTCAACTTCAAATAGTATATATTTACTTTATTATTCAAAGGTTTATCCTACTTAAAAATGTTAGAATGTGTTTACAAGTTAAAAAGTTGAATATAAATTAATTAAGACAATAGAAAGCTAATGAAACATTAGAGTTAGAGTTTGTTTTTCTAAACAAATAGAAATAGAGTTTTATATGTAAATTTAATTGTAGTGAAAAACAAGAATATGTTTACAAATTTTAACCTTCAGTCAAATGCATATACATATTTATAAATTTTAACCTTCAATCAAATACATATACATGTTTACCGTCTAATAGAAGTAAACATAATACTTATAACATGATAAAATTTTAGAAATAGAAAACTCAAGATAAAGCAGAGTGTTAATATCCTAATAAATTAAAATAAAAACAAATTATTCATATTTTTTAGTGTTAGTGGTTTAGTTAACTCAAAACATAACAAAAACATGAAAGTTAACACAAAACCATCATATTTCAAATCCACGAGTATAAATAAAATTAAACAGAAAAACTATCGTAAACAACCCCGCGCTTGCGCGGGGCTTCAAACCTAGTATCTTTTAAAGCTATTCAATTGTCTTGATGGATCATATATCTTTCTCCAAAAGCTAGTTCCAGTGATCAACATATTGTCCTGATATCATTCATATCTATAAAAGCTTTTGTATTTTCTACATGATATGTACGTAGTTTTCTTTGGGATTCCTCATACATGTCTCGTTTTAATTTTTAGTATTAAGACACTTCTAATATTTGTGTTCTAAAATATTGTGAATAATCAGCTTCTCGGAGACACCAGTTACAAGAAGAGTTTGTATAGTATAACTCCACTAGGGCGTGCTGGAGAGCCTAATGAAGTTGCGTCACTAGTTGTCTTCTTGTGTCTACCTGCGGCTTCATACATTACTGGTCAGACCATTTGTGTTGATGGAGGTCTCACTATCAATGGTTTCACCTCTAAGCATCAGGCTTGAGCCGAAAGACTTGTGTGTGTGTGTGTGTCTTTATATGAAGAACTTCTAAAGATTCTCGAACAAAGATCAAATCTTAATAAAAAATTTATGAAAATAAGAGAAAGTGGTCCTAGTTTATAGGACCACAATCTCATTTTCAATTTCCACAAGTTATAGGAATTGATGATTCCTTTTTCTTTGTTAACTATATATGTCAGAAAGTATAATAAATGACTAAACTTGTGAGTAAGTTATAATAATCGATCAGAGAAAGTCCCTGTTTTTGTTGCTTTGATCCCAATAATGGAAATAATAAGTGACTAACTATTACTAAAAATCTCTCATATTAGAAAAGGGAAAGGAATGGTCAATGGTTTAATATTAAAAGAAAAATCAAGATAAAAATCCTTTCTATTTCTAAAATGGATTAGTAAACCAAATAAATGAATGATGAAAAAGAGACAGTACCTCCAACACCATAAACAAATCTTAGCAACTGCGTTTGTGTCATCTCTCAATACAATAGTGTCTATTTGTCTTTGTTTTCCTGTTTTTGCATTATGCATCACATTATGTATGCATAATGTGATTCAACACATGCTTCTTTTTATTGGAATTAAGACGCTAAAACGTAAGATAGGACGCTAAAACGTTCTAATGGCAAATTAAGACTTTCTATATTTTGCTTTCCTGATTTCTAGAGGAATTGAGGAAACATGAAACAACGCAAGAAAAGAAAGTTGGAATCGTAATTCTTACAATCGAGGGGAAGTGTGGAGGGATAGGTCTATAAACATAAGGAAAACAACTTCTCTTATTTTTGAGCAATAACTATAATACATTTTGAGAAAAAAGTAGAGAAATGATTGACTAGTAGATAGCAAACAATTAAGCATGACTAGCAACAACGCATGAATCCAGAGCGGCGCGATGCAAGATAAGCATCAGCTCCATCACCTTCTTCATTTCACAGCTTTGAGATCGCAAAAGCAGGCAAATTATTTCTAGTTGGAAGCTTTAGATCTTCCCATCCCTCCTCTTCCACTATTTTGAAGTACTTCTCTACCATATCATCTTTCATCTCCTCCAGTCGAGATGGCTTCCACTGTATTAGTATACGACATTATATCAAACATAGTATGACATAAGTCACATAACCAGAAAGAACTAAATGGAGAGATTTGACAAACCTTTGGGTTCTTATCTTTGTCTATCAATATGGCTCTACACCCCTGCATAAGTAAGACACACGGTTTTGTAGTTATATGTCTACAACAAGAACTGTTCTAAGAAGAAGATACAACAATGAGGAAAGGCTAACAAAACCTCTACTACATCTTTGCTTATGTCTCCCTTCATCACATGACACACAATTCTATACTCACGAATAAGACACTGTCCCACTCCTTGAAATCGTCCTTGTCTTATCTGAAAATTTTATGCACAAAGTTAGATCTTTCCCATCGTTGCATGTGATTGATTCATTATGAGAACTAACCGATCTAAGACCGATTTTAAGGCTTGCTGGTGAAGCCTTCTTTAATGCTTTGATTGTAGTTGAGATCCAATCATCTGGTTCTTGCGCGGCTTCTCTCTCCTGAGAAACACATATGATGGTAGAGTGCTTTGTCAAAGGTGATTTAGTCAAGTCAATGTCACAAGGATCAACATATCTTACATCTTTATTACAAACTTACAAGTGCAATAATTATGTCTTCGATTGTTCTCCTCGAGAAGCACCTATCAATAACATCTAACCTGCGTAAAGAAACAAACGTAAAGATAAGAAAAAGCTATGTAAAGAGCAACTGAAAGCTAACAACAATAAAATGTGTAAATTTATAAAAACATGTAGCGTAGAAATGATTTAACACATGATCTAGATGTTGGCATGACAAAAGATATAATATTGCAAACACATGTACAAGTATAAAAGAGTAAAAAGATATAAAGATTATTGCCTGTTGTAAGCACTCTTTTGTTTTAGGTGCGGTTTCTGAGTGTATGCATCGAGAATTGTTGAGACAAATAAGTTTGGATCACTTGAACCAACTCTGCAAAGATCTGCTTCTAGTGCAGTCAACCTCTGTGACAAGGAGTAAGCTCCGTAAGTAAAAATCCTTGTAGAATATATTTTTTTTTTTTAACAATAGTAGATAAAATATATATAGTATATGTGAAGTATAAATAAAGGCACTAACACATACTCCGTTTAACAATAATAGGCATATACACATACTCCCTCCGTTTTTTTTATGATTAATTTTCTAGCAATTTTCTGTTGTTTTATAAAGATAATTTTTTAAGCTTTTTGATCCATTTTTACAGATTTCAAGAAATAATAATTATATTTCTTAGATTTTCATTGGTTTAAAGTTATAAAACATAGTGTAATTGCAAAAATCAATACACTTATGATTTAAAAGTAACTTTTTCTTAATAGGTGTGGAAAACTAGAAAATATATCTTTAAGAAATGAATGGAGTAGAATATATAGTCAACACAAACCATCAATCTAGAGAAAATAAGCACACAATGCGTGAAAATAATGGCTGACGTCCCAACGGTTACTTTTTACTAATCAATTTATTGTAAACAACCGTAGAGTGAAATTTGAGTATATATCGAACTTATATAGTGGGGTCAATAGGCCATAATTGACCAATCATGCTACTAATCATTTCGATATAATATAATGAAGAAAATCTGAATATTTAATCATATAGTTCCATTAGTTCCAAAAGAGAACAATGCTACTTAGCTGTCATAATCCATCTAAAATCCACTAAAGTTTTCGTCAAGTTGCTATCATCCCGTAATTGGGGGAATACTAAAGGCGTAAGTTTATACCGTTGAAGGCACAAAATGAGTTGCAAGACCACAAGCAAGCATTTCGGCGCCATCTAACCTAGCTCCTGTGAGGCCAACATATTCTCCTGAACAAGAAGATAGGTAAAAATTAAATGAGAGAGGGAGATAGGCTCAAACTTCTGTGGACATGCAAAAACAAAATGACTTCTGTTACCAAAAAATCCAGGGAGTCTTGACAAGAAGTAGGAGGCGCCTACATCTGGAAAGAGCCCCAGAGCTGTCTCAGGCATAGCAAAAACCTTGGAGGAAGTTCAAAAGAAATGTTTTGAGCATATTTCAGAGTGATCTATTTGTCAACTGTGAATAAATTCAAGAAATGAAATACCGTGTTTTCGGTAGCAACACGATATCGACCATGTATGGAGACACCAGCTCCGCCTCCCATGACAATACCATTCAGAATTGAAACCTAAACAATAAAAAAATAACAGTATGGAAAACGAATGAATGAGATTATATATACACTTTGAATTCTATGGGAAGAAATGTCATTTATGTTGATTCCATAAACATTTTAGAACACTTTTTGAAACATATTTATGAAAGACATGCTAAACATACTCCATTTTTTTTTTCAAAAGATGATTTTGGTGATATTTTGAATTATTAAATCTATTTATTATATAAAGTATAAAACTCTTATACATGTATTTTAAAGAACCTATACGAGAACAGATGCTGTCCGTATCCAAATAATCGGATTTTGAAATAAAAAAATATATCCAGATCCGAGTCAAGAAACTCCGATATCCTATCTTTCTTACGAAGTAGTACTACTATACTATGAGTAAAAAAGACAGTATGCTGAGACCTGAGGTTTGCTATGCGTGGCCATAACATAGTTGAGAGTGTATTCATCTGAGAAGAAATCGGCACCGAGTCTCCATTTGCCTAGTCGTCCACGAAAAAACAGAGAAAGAGTGAAAATATGCTCTTCACATTTTAGAAGCTGAAAGCAAGAAAAATATGCTAGGGTGATAATAACATTAATATACCTCGTACGATGTCACGAACAACAGGTGGAACATCGCCACCAGCACAAAAGGCTCTTCCCTGACCCTGTGGGCAAAGTTATTCAGTACGTGTGCAAACGGAAGAGAAAGGAAAATGAATTTTACCTTAAGGATGACAAGTTTCACACTAGAGTTTTTCTCGTATGCAAGAAACAGTTGCAGCAACCGAGAAATCTAGAGAAGATTGATTCGACCCAATTAATATATAACACTGGTGCAGGAAAGGGAGGAAGAAACAACAAGGGGAAATTATGTAATACCATGTCGAAGTTTAGAGCATTCAGCTGCTTTGGCTTGTTTAGTGTCAAGATTCTAACACTCGATTTCTCTTCTACCAAAATCTGTGAACCAAAATATATTCAGAGAGAGAGAGAGAGAAGAATTGATCGTTGTTGATTTGCATTAAAAGAAGAGAATAAAGACCTGAGAGTGAGAGGCCATCTCGACTGATGTCGTCTCCATCTTCTTCTTATCTTTGCCTTTGAAGATTATGAGACTGAATGATTATTATTAGAGACATATATAGTGTTTTTCTTTCGTCTAAAGAATAATTAACTTATTGTTGTCTTCTTTTTGGCAAGGGTTTATTCATTAGTAATCTAGATATTTTTCTACAAATGTGCATTGAATTGGTTGACTTTCTTCTTCTTCTTCTTTAAAAAAAAAAAAATAATCCTATATTTTTTTATTTTTTTGTGTGTGTGCGCGTCGACATATATAACGTCAGATGCATGACGTCATCAATCAGAGTCAGAGGCAGTATTAGAAAAAGACTCGATCGAGTCAGCATCTACAGCATCATACCCAAAGCAACACTTATTAATTAGCATCACAGCAAATATACTTGCTGGAGATATTGCATATCTTTTCGTGACATTTTTCGGTAGACTTTCTACTTTCGTTTTCAAAATTTAATGATTCTTGGTTGTTTTTATATAAATAGATTCATATTATTAAAAAGGTTTAGTTATTGATAAAAAAAATATAAACTCGGGACGAATTGCTTTCCAAAAAAAAATAGGAGTATGAAAAATTTTGTAAGTGAACTGAGAATATTAATAAACCCTTGCTCAAAAAGAAGATGAAAATGTGAGACTATATTATAATATGTAAGCTTGAAGGCCTTTTAACAAAAAAAAAATGTAAGCTATATGAAATTACCATGCAATGCATGGTAATAACTATTGAATCATAAAAGCATAACTATTTAATCAGTTTTAGATTTTAACTTACATATTATATAGTTATGCTTTTATGATTTATGGTAGCTAAATGGTGGTGATTATTTGATTCTATGTTTACAATAATGGTTATATTATATACATGTCTTTTTTTATATGATGAATTGGTAGCATAGAAAAGGCATGTTCTACTCTAATATAATAGATTTCGTGCTTCTTCTGCTGTTTCTGTGGATGGCATTTAAGATTTGAGTATTTTTACATAATGTGGCGCTTCAGGCGAGCAAAAGGAACCCACCGAATCTTCTTCTTTAAAACATGATTAAACTAATTTTCTTGGATCTATTGTATATATAGCTCACGCCGAGTTGTTTTATCGTCCTTTTTTTCTTCTTTTTATTAAAGAAATCGATCAAAATTTCCAACACTGATATAATTTCGTATTGGGTTAGGTGATGTAATTTTCCAAGTGGAGTAGTATTATAAAAATACATAGTTAGCAAATAATTTGGTGACTTTTGACAAAAATAATCATATTGCATATATGCATGATGCATGCATTGCATGATCATTTCATTTTATAGTATTTTCATCTAATTCCGAAATTTCTACACAAATTCAGATCTTCCCATGACTGCATGGGAGCGCATTCAAAGATGTAACGCATAGTGCCTCTGTATTCCAATTCTCCCTTAGAAAAAATTAAACCGAATCACAATATATATAGAGCTTTTGGCCTTTATTTACATGAAAACACAATAACAATAATAGATTCCTTGAACATTGACCTAGACCAGTGATTTGCATCGGCAACGTATTGTGACTTTGTTATATGTTTTGGTATCTGATCTTTTTCCATATCAGTGTAAGCGACGCCGACTTCAATTTTATAATTATGAGTTTCTCATATTACCTCCCTAATGAGTTTTTGTTTTTTCAATCTAAAATGTAAAAAACGCTATATGAAAAAAATTGACAATGTCAATTAGCATGATCGTTAATTGTCTAACCAATTGAATGCACGCACATTTGCAGAAATTGTTGAAGAAGTTTCTCATAAATATAAAATGTAAGAAATTCAGTGCATGACATTAATTAAAATTCTGGACATTGACATCAATCAGAGACAGTTTTAATTAGAAGAAAAGACTCGATCATAAACTTGTATATTCAATACATGATCAATAAAACCATAATTTGATATGAACCTTTGTTCACAATAAGAGATAGATAGAAGATAGAAGATTTAGGCTAAGTTTCCTGTTAACCCTAAATTCTTTTGGAGATTAAGGTTAATTCTTGGAAGTTTGTTCCTTATTAATCAATAGAGAGTCTTATATAGGTCTTGATAAAACAACTTAATAATAAAAAAATATCAAACCTCATTCATAAAAGAAAACACCCAAAACTCTTTAACGAAATACCTAATTATAGTCTTGTATCAAAATCATTCACCTTTTGTTAATTTGATGCATGTCTACTTATAAATGGCATACAGAAAATCAAAGGCAACCAATTTGCGGAAAATGATTTATATTTATATCAGTACTCACTCTCTTCTTATTTTCGGGCGACATATATCAGTACTTACTATAAAAATAAAAAGTCAGATGCATGACATCAATCAGAGTATTAGAAAAAGACTCGATCGAGTTAGCATCTACAACCAAACTACATAGAAAAAAAGTAAACACGTGTTCACACACAAAGCAATAAAGAATCCACACTTAGCAGTTACCAGTCAGCATCATGACAGCACTAGCAGATATACAACATTTGATTCTAGACTTTCTAGTTCGGTCTTAAAAACTAAAGACTCTTTTTTTTTCTTTTTTTTTTTTTTGGTCAACAAAAACTAAAGACTCTTTAAGATGATGAATTAGCATATATAGACATATATTTAAAGGTTTAATTATTTATACACAAAATAGAAACTGTATACGAATTGAAAATCACTGTTTTTGGTTGAATCACTGAGAATACTAATATTACATCATATGTCATGTTTTCCAGCCTAGGGGATTACAGGTTTTTGGCTAGAATCTCCTGTAAATAAAATAGATAAAAAATACTACAGAAGATTTTAGCCAAAAAACAATAGGTTAGCATTCTCAGTTTATTTATAGCTTATATTGTCTCACACAATTTAATAACAAAGAAGATGAAAGCTGTGTGATGACGATTTATTTATTTAGGTTGATAAAGATTTCAATAATTTTGAAAATTCAATGGAGGCAAGCAAAACATTTGTTGGTTATTTTAGAGCTTACTCTTTATGTACATGTTATTTTGGTATGAATGATAGAGTTTGGAAAACAAGCATAGATTATGCTCAAAGAGCTTTATTGAATGAGATTAAACTAAGATATAAAATGGAAATAGTTCATAGAGCTTTATTCAATGTAAAAGAGAAAGAAAAGAGAAAGCTTTATGTTTGTCTTCAAGAGATCAATTGATTCGATTGATACATTAAAATGGAAAGGAGGGCTGCTTCAATGGCAGCCAAAGTTACATCCATCAAGATCATAAGAACAATATTTATACTAATGTTTATACTAATGTTCTTCTAAAAAACCCTAAACACATGGGCTAATGGGCTTTTACGATGACAATATTTTGGGCTTTATGTATGCTCTAATAATGAAGACGTACACCTAATCGACGAAATAAGTAAGACAATATAAGCTATAAATAATTATTTTCATCACACAAAATTAATATTCATGATTTCGGGTTTATTAAAACATTTATTTCAAAATTCAAAATTCAGATACAAACTAACATATTATGGAAAAAATAACTCGTCTTATAGTATTTGAATGATGAAAAAAATCAGAATATTAAAATAATTATTTTGCATTTTTCCATCTACTTAATTTATCTAGCTAATATATCTCCCAAAATGTTTGCATTTGCTTAATTCCACTATCTGAAACGTCATTAGCTACGTATGTTTGGTATCTAGTTCGCCTCTATATAATTAAGTCATGTGGCACATTGCAACTCACAGGTAAACACAACATGGATAATAGATGGAATCTTCAAAGTATGACTGCTCTTGTAACTGGTGGAGCCAGCGGAATCGGGTTAGTTTTTCTACTCTCTTGCTTTTATTTATTTTAACAACCAATCTACTCTCTTGCTATATCATATTTTTTACTTAACTCTTGTGCTTTTTTTTCTCCCTAAGATGTTGCTAATTTTTAGGTTTTTTCGTTGTGGAATGTTTTAGGCATGCCATAGTAGAGGAGCTAGCCAATTTTGGAGCTAGAATCCATGTATGCGACATATCTGAAACACTGCTCAATCAAAGTCTAACCGAATGGGAAAATAAAGGGTTTCAAGTGAGTGGTTCAATATGTGATGTATCCTCTCGTCCCGAGAGAGAAACACTTATGCAAAACGTCTCAACAATGTTCGATGGAAAGCTCAACATTCTAGTATGTTATTCTTAAGCTACACACCAATTAAATATTAACGTATATATATATATATATAATTAAATATTAATATATATATACACACATAATTGTAGGATTTTTGTTAATCTTTTCTTTGTTTTTTTTTTTAACATAGGTGAACAACGTTGGGGGATGTCGCATGAAGCCAACAATAGAATATGGGGCAGACGATTTCTCGTTCCATATTTCAACAAACATTGAATCTGCTTACCATCTTAGCCAGCTTTCACATCCTCTCCTAAAGGCTTCTGGATTTGGAAACATCGTCTTTATTTCCTCTGTTGGAGGGGTTGTATCAATGGACTGTGGATCCATCTATGGTTTAACTAAAGGTACATTGACTAACTAATCAACAGAGACACTTATACTAGGCGAATTAGAAATAATGGTTCATTTATATATGTTTCATTACGTAAATACAAACTATATTTTTGATTAGGAGAATATGCAGTTACGTGTATAATTTTCAAATAATGTTTAATACTAAGTTTTTTTCTTCTTGGTTTAAAAAAAGAAGTTAAAACACAATTTAATCCTAAGTTGAGTTAATAAGTTAATTAGACTGACACGTACATCATCTCTTCTTAATTCATATGCGCAAACAATTTGTTGTTTCAAAAATATAGGATCTCACTGTCAAAACATTCGGTAACATATTTAAAGAGAGATAATTCTTTTTATAGATACACAAACAAGACCAATTTAAAGTGATTAATTGATTGTCCCGATATTATTCATTTCTATAGAAGCTTTGTACGTGTGTTCAGTTTTCTTTGGGATTCCTCATTTATGCTTATCTTTTTTTTAATCAATCTGTTTCTTTATGTGTGTATGTGTTAATGTATAGGAGCTATGAATCATCTAGCAAAAAATTTGGCGTGCGAATGGGCAAGAGACGGCATAAGAGCCAACTCTGTTGCTCCTAGTTTTGTTCAAACTGAGATGGCTGAACCTGTAACCAATGACACCTCCAGCTTTTTTTTTGTTTTTTGGTAATGAATATTTTGCAATAATTATCATTCTTGTGTTCTAAAATCTTGTGTATATTCAGCTTCTCGGAGACGCCAGTTACAAGAAGAGTTTGTTTGTTATAACTCCACTTGGGCGTGCTGGACAACCAAACGAGGTTGCATCACTAGTGGTCTTCTTGTGCCTACCTGCAGCTTCATATATTACTGGTCAGACCATTTGTGTTGATGGAGGTCTCAGTGTCAATGGTTTCACCTATAAGCATCATGCTTGAGCCTAGACATGTGCGTGTGTGCGTCTTTATAACAAGAACTCTAAAACACGATTCTTAATTAAAGACCAAATTTTAGTAACTTGTTTATGCAAATAAGAGAAAGTGGTCCTCCTAGTTTTAATGAGCACTATCTCATTTCCTATTTCCACAAGTGGTTCCTCATTTTTGTTTGTGTTCTATATATGTCAGAAAAATATAATACTAATGAATAAAGGATAGAAAAAAATTTCCTAAAACGAAAGTGCATGTTTTTGTTGTTTTTATCTCAATAATGGAAGAATAAGGGCATCCTCATTAAAGGTGGTTTCAAAGGATAACTTAACCCAATAATAGAGAAAAATAATAAAAAGTATGAGAAAGAAATGAAAAATATATGTGACTGATACTGTAATGGAATAGAGAGATTAAGAGAGGAGATGAATTCATGATCTCTTATTCCAATAGAAAGGGACCTTTATATTGGTGTACAACATTAGGGTTTTCCTTATAGGAAGTACCCTTGGTGGACAAATAGGAATATTCTAGAAGATGGGCCTCATAATGGACATCCACATAAAGCCTTTTCATAACACTTCCATTTGGATGTCCATTATAAGTAATGTGCGGATGATGCTACCTCATTAAAAACCTTACTAGGAAAACCCAATGGGAAAAACCATAGTTAAGGGAAAAAGAGTGTAGCGCACAATTACTTCCTCTCATGTGGACATCCACTGAGATCCTTGAGACGATGCAGTCCAATTATATGAGTTAGTTTCTTGAAAGTAGATGTTGGAAGCGCCTTAGTAAAGAAGTCCGCCAAATTCTCGCTTGAACGAATCTGGTGTACACTTACATCACCATTCTTCTGTAACTCATGGGTGAAGAAAAATTTCGGTAGGATGTGCTTCGTTCTTGTCTCCTTTGATGTATCCATCCTTGAATTGTGCGATGCAAGCAGCATTATCTTCATACATAACTGTTGGAGCTCCTTTTCCTGTCTGTACACCATAATCTTCTGAAATGTGTTGAACTACAGACCTCTCAACCAAACACACTCACAACTAGCTCCGTGGGCGGCTCCACATATGAACACATATCCAGTTTGTGAACGAGCAGTATGGGGATCAGACAAGTATCATGCATCTACAAAACCAATTAAATTTGTGTGTTCTCTGTTGCCTCATTAAAACCTTTCATGGAAAAACCCAATGAGATAAAAACCATAATAAGGAAAAAGAGTACAACCACACATCATCATACTTCTTCCTCTTGGAAGCATTTTCTTCAGGAAATGCGTTCCACTCATAAACTTGTATGACTATCTTTAATCTCTCATAAGCCAACCAATGATGGTACACCCAAGTATATGAATACCTCTATTGCACTCAAGTATGGTACTTCAGGACCAAAACTTCTTCATCGTTTTCCAGGGGACAGAAAAGATATTTCCATACATCAAGTGATCTTCTAATCACTGAACTACTCAAATAATGAGTTTAATCTATTGAGAACCTTCAATTCTCTCTCGGTGTACGCTATATGGTGCAGTAGAATTCTATCCACAAGATGCTCAATCTACAATCTCAAGCAGAATTTTGTCTTTCCGAGAACTTTCATCTCAAATTTTTTCTCCAAGTATTCTACTGTATATGAAATCTCTTCAGGAGTTCCAATACTATTTAAATCATCTACGTACACCGCAATGATATCAAATCATTTCACAAATTTCTTTATGAATATGCATTGGCTGATAAGATCATTCTTATAGCCTTCCTTCAGCAAGTATTCACTAAGACGGTTATACCACATATATCCTGATTGTCTCAATCCATAAAGAGAACGTTTTAACTTTATGGAGAAATCTTCTATAGAATTTAAATTCTCTGCTTCAGGCAGTTCAAATCCTTCTAGGACTTTTCATATAGATCTCATTATCCAATGGACCATATAAGTAGGCTATGACTACATCCATCAGCCGAAAATCAAGTCCTTCTCTTATCACAAGAGAGATGAGGAATCTAGAAATAGTTACATCCACTTCAAGGGAGTATATCTATTCATAATCAATTTCATGTATTTGTGAGAAACCATATGCAACTAAACATGCCTTGTATCTCACAATATCACCATTCCTTTTCGCACAAAATCCATTTGTGTTCTACTAGTTGTACATCTTCAGGTGTACAGACTACCATACTTTTAGGTGTACGGACTACTTGTCCGAATACTTTTCTCTTTCTTCGAGATCATGGACTATTGGTCCCTATACTTCCCCTTTTCCAAGGGATTACAAATTACTGATCTGTGTACAGTCTATGTCTATTGCTTCTTTACGATTTGGCCAAATCATTACTTTGTGTACACTTAGCAATAGACTTTTTTAATGATCCTCTTTCTCATTCATAACATCAACTGCTACATTGCATGCAAATATCATATTTACGACGTCGATTTGCTTTTCTGTGGTTCCAATGTATTCCACACATGACTTGACAAATTCTCGAGATCTTTTCATTAGTCTCAGGTACCTGAATTTCTTTCTTTGTCATGTTTAATGTCTCTTCTGGAGATCATTCAAAATCTGTGTTTTCTCGGTTTGACCAATTTCAACTTATGCTCTTTTTCTTTTCCGAACTCTTATATTTGGAACCAAGTCTACCACGCTTCAGGCGTGCCATAGACTTAACAGCAGTTTGATATTGTCCTTCTGGGACATCAATTCTTCTTAGAGCATTTACAGCTGGTAAGTGACCTCAATCACGTATATGGGTCAGTAAGTGTATCACAACTGATACATTGAATGAATTATCCTTAAGACATTCATTCTATAAGTCCGAGGATCATCGATAACTCATTCCAACTACTTTAATCTTCTCCAGCCTGTTTACTTTCTCCCCTTGATGTTGGAAATACTGACTCATTAAAATGGCAGTGTACAATCGGGCTTTACTTAAATCCTTCGGGGATAGCTCTCAATTTTATCCAACATCTACAACCTCCTTTGAGGATATCTCATACTCACGTCGTGGATTGTATACTGTACATCCACATGCCTTTAGATGGAAAATATTTGGTTTCTGACCAAAACCAATTCAAAGGGAGAACTTTTGATAACTCATTGGCTTGATGCGAATCAATGCTCCTGCATTCTTAGTATGAACATGTATACTGGATGTTCACTGAATTCACCTATATTACCAATTAATCTTGCAACTTCAGGTTACAGATTGATATCAAGTATACATACAACCATCTTAAAGTTTTACTTAGTGGATGATCAGTCCACACCATAAACTTTTCCGTGTATACTTTTAATAAGTGACTAGATTCCAAATCTTGTCAACTGGTGAATATCATACTATGAATTTCTTATGAGCATGGGACATATCACAAATCATTGAGAGAATCTTCTGGTTCTTCAATGAATGTCCATATGATTAACTTTCACATCACATCTGAACCAGATTGGTCTAACAGGTTCATGCCAAACAATGAAGTTTTCGTTAAATTGGTGTACGACCACAAACTTCTGGTGTACGGCAACATTTGCCTCCATTGTATAAGCACATTACAATATGCATTTAATCTTTCCATAATGTATTAGAGCCTTGGGTATGCATAATGTGAAGGTATTCAACGTTTTCTTCACTCATAGTCTCAATGTGATGATTCTGAAAATCTTCAGGATTTTCTGAAGCATAGTGTGAACTTCATCTTCTGGATGTTTCACTTGCTATATACATGAGATTCCTTAATTCTTCCCCTCGAGATGGTGATACTCTAAATCCAACCATCTCGAACATAATCTCACTCTAAAATCAACATCACATCCAACTTGGATCATGAATACTTTTAACTTTTGAGACTATAACGCATAAGCAATTTTGAATTGCGTTCCCATATGTTCTTCTGGAACATTCAATATGGATGCTCTTCCGGAGCTTTCAATATATATGCTCTTCTGGAGCCTTTATCATATATGCTCTTCCAGAACTCTCAATGTATATGCTCTTCTGGAGCCTTTCAATATGAATGCTCTTCAGGAGTTTCCAATATATGTGCTCTTCAGGAGCTTTCAGTATAAAAACATATATCAATAACTAAAATGAGTGAATAAAATAACAGTTAAATGAAATGCAAATGAAAGCTAAACTGAATAAATAAAGCAGCAAGTACTATATGGGTTGCCTTACTAAACCCAAAGTCATCTTTACTATCTTTGTACACCAAGTTTGTTTCCAACAAGTGCACTGGTGTACGCAACATACGTGATCAATGGTCTTCTCTTCTACAGTGGTAACATGTATTCTCATGTGTTACTCATTTTGGTACCATCTTTCTGTTATAATCATAGCCACAACCACGTCCACGACCATGACCACAACCTTAAATTTAAGCCATTGTGGTTTTGTTCTTTCCTATCATTGGATGTCACATTCACTTCAGGGAATGGAGCGGAACTTGTCACACATTCACTTCAGGAAATGGAGCCGAACTTGTCGGACATAGGCTATGATTCGTACACCAAATTTTCTCAGTACCTTGTTATTTTGTTGAACACAAGGATACAATATATCAATCATGATTACTTCTGGAATCCACTTTCACAATATTGTATCTGCAGGACAACAATAATTTCATGAGAGGTAGAGAATGTTTTTCTCTAGCATATCTGGATCCACATAATTCCAATTTGGAATCAATTATAATTACTTACAGACTTGAAGTCTTGTGAACTCTCATGTGTCCAATCATAGCTCTAGGTAAGATCACTTCTGGTGACCATATCCTTTCTTTTTAAACTGATCCAAAGGACTTGTGGATCTATCACAATCAGATACTCATTCTTGAGATCTTTGTGGAGCTGATGGCGTAGATATATCATAGACTTAACTTTGTCTTTATTTTCATCTTTATTCATTTTCTTGATTGTTCACTAAGCTCTTTCGCACTGAGGTGGATCTCAGCATCTAATGCTCACACGAGGTAATTATCCTCGGTAATATTTCACACCTCAAAGTTCAAATAATCACAAAGGCTTTCTGAATGAACAACCATCTTGTCTACTAGACATCTATCATCATGTCTTCAGGACATGTGTAAAACAAACAATCATAATGTCTTCTGGACATATATCATCATGTCTTCAGGACATGTATATAGAAAAAGAACATCCATAATGTCTTCTAGACATATACCAGTGTACAATCACGTCTGCAGGACAAGTATACAAGGCTGATCTAAAGCATATCAATGTATAAACAGATCAAATAAGTATGATATATAACTCAGTGCATAAACAGATCTAACAGACGGAATATATAATTTACTGTAAAAACAGATCTAACTCAGTATTGATCAGTGCTTAGTTTCATGTTTATGCATCATCAAGATAAATCAGTATTCAGTTTCATGTTTTATCGCATGTACATCAAAGGTATTGATATCTCATCGCGCTGTACACCGAAACATCGATTATTGAATCGTGTTGTCCACTTAAACATATATGTGACTCACTGGGTTGAACAATGGTGTGATTGAATATAACATGATACAGGTTTCGATAGACCATAGAAAATAACAATCAACAGTGCTTAACGCAATAAGATATAGCATAAATCAAAGCATATATCAAAGTATGAATAATCGACATATCACATATATGACACGGCATAACAAGATTCTAGTTCGATAATTTGGATCGTTAATCAATATATGTGATTGAGGATTGATATTCAAGAACCATGAATCGATAGTTAGACATGGTTCTTCATATCGAAGAGTAATAGATCTGAAATCTAAAATAACTACCTTTTAGCTCTGACGGCTAGGGTTTTAAACCTAGAGAGTAGAGACTCGTGTTGATAACGTGTTATGGAATAGAGAGATTAAGAGAGTAGAGGAATTCCTGATCTCTTATTCCAATAGAAAGGGGACCTTTATATTGGTGTACAACATTAGGGTTTTCCTTATAGGAAGTACCCTTGGTGGACAAGTAGGAATATTCTAGAAGATGGGCCTGATAATGGGCATCCACATAAAGCCTTTTCATAACAGTGACTAACTATTACTTGAATATCCCATTAAGGACATGGAAAAGAATAGTCAATGGATTAAAATATTCTTATCAATTGGGTTTCAAAGGATATCTCATTAAATAAATAAAAAAAAACTGTAAATTTTCAAAAAGAAACAAACTTTGTTTCACCGATTTGGATTCCATAACCGTCGTAGGAACAAAAGTTGCCACCAGACAAAAAAAAGGGAAATTGCAGTAACTAACAATAAAATACCATGAAATTAACAAACTAACAATAATAACATGATGGCTATAATATAGTCTGTATTTTATGAAATAATACTAAAACTGTCTCTTATATGAGAGAGAAACATGTATCGTTTGGTTCAAAATTTCGATGGGAAATAGAACCATGGGAGAAACAGTATCACAAACCTAAAACCACCAAAAACGAGAGCATTTGAATGCAAAAATCAAGAATATGGGTTTTCAATTCGATCGACAGTTGGAAAACAAAGCAGTTTCGACAAAGGCAAAGATCGGGGTGGTATGGGTGAACGTTGGCAAGTGGGTTTTATATTTGAAAAAGCAGAATCTGAAAACGAAACAGAAAGAGAAGAGTCTTGCTAAACATGGTTGTGAAGTTGGTGATAGTGATTGTGGTGGTAGTGAGATCCAGTTCGATGAATCTCTTATGTTTCATATTTTTTATTCGCCGATGCAATTATTTATGTAAATTATGCAATTGCTGAAAGAGTATGTTCTATGTTATTTGAGCTTATTTTGTTTGTGCCACTCTCACAAATATTTCCCAAATTTCGTGGTCACCATCTTCTTCTCTTTATACTATTCTTTTGTGGAAAGTAACTCTTTATACTATTCTTTTTTTTTTTCATGTAGTATATGTTTTAATACTTTTGGGTGTGGGGTTTAGGTTTAGGTTAAGGGTTTTAAATTTTCAGGTTTTGGGTTTACTGGTTAAGGCTTAAGGGTTGAGGGTTTATATTTTTGGATTTAGGGTTTAATAGTTAAGAATTAAGGATTATATTTTTGGTTGTAAGGGATATTCAGTTTTATTTATTTGGTTGTAAGGAATATTTTAGGATTTATATTTTTGGTTATATGAGTAAGGAGTTTGGGTCTATATAAGGAAAGCTTGTTTATGGTAATTAATCTCTTTCACAAGGATTGTGACTTTCTAAATATCGTGTCTCTAGACATATAATCTCATCAAAGTCATTGTATTTTCAACTTTACATAAATAAACAGTATAGAAAAATTAAGAGCATAATAGTATAGATAACATAATACCATTTTCTGTAGACAAGGGCAAAATCGTCCAAAAATATTTCTCTTTGTTACTTACTTAATTTTGAGTTTGTAATGGCTATATTTTTAATTTTGACACTCAATATTGTCATCTACCAAATTAACCCAAAAAAAAATTAAAGAGAGATAAAAAGATCTCAACAAAAAAAAACTGAAACACTTAGGGAATTGCAATAGATGACAATATTGAGTTGGGAAATTAAGTAACGAACAATAATAAAATCATGGCTAGGATATACTGTGTATTTTGTGAAATAATACCAAAATACTCCCTGAAGGAGAGAGAAACCATTACTATTCTCTAATCTAATTAGGTCAAAATTTTCGAGATATCAAAAGATATGGAACACTTTCATAAACAGCAAAGCACTAAAAATCATAGAAGAGAAGGCGAAATTTAGGATTTCAATTTTGGAGTTGAATTTCAGAGGAGAAGAGGGAAATATCGGAGTTGGTAGTAGTCACTAACGGTGGGAGGTTGATTTGAGATCTGATGCAGGCACCACAAAACTAGAGGAGAAAGGTTCTTCAATCCATGTATGGCGAATATTCCGGCTGTCTGATCTGGTATACGCTCTTGTTCCTCTTCGATTATTGAGGGCTAAGATTCTGATCATGGAGCAATTCCCGGAGACAGATGGCTCCGATCGTCTCTTTCAAAGTGGAATCCGACGTCATCGTTTCGTTAGACGGCACGATTTCCTTGAGACAAACGCTGAGATCGGGGCAACGGTAAGCTTCACGTCACGGTGAGAAAATCAAACGCTTCCCGGAGATCTCTATGTGGTCCTAATATGACTCCTCGTCCATCAAATCTCCCTGGAGCTGAGACTTACAGTCTTAGCACAACCCCAGAGGATCCAATTTCAATCACTCCGATTTCTACTCTGTGATGGGGTATCCTAGTGAAGAAGGAAATTAATTCAATTTCGGTTTTACATAGGGCCGAGTCACTCCGAGGAGTACAATTGGAATTAAATTGGAATTGATGAATGAGGGAAGCTTGTGAGTACGGGATATTGATTTGCGGTATTATAGACTTATAGTATATGCTATATTCTTTCATCTTTCCAGGAGGTTCTTACATAGAAGAAGAAGGTTTATCAATGAGAATGTTGGAGACAAAATTTGAGCAAACATGATGTAATTTGTGGTTTCTGATGGTTATTGGTACCAACTCTCTCAGCTGTTGCGGTGTTTGTTAATGGTACCAGCACTTCTCCACCATTGTGGAACTATTACCATCCGAACCGCTGCCATCAACTATGCATTACAAGTTCGGGAAACATTAAATACTTGTGAGGGTCGAATATTGTAAAATCTTGGTGGTAGTTTGTATTTCATATTCTCTATACTATGCGCTTTTGTACTATGATATGCCATTAACAGTTTTGTAGTTTCTTTTCTATATCCATAGTATGAAAATGAAGATTCACTTGCAAACTAGTAAATCATTCTAAAAAAAGAGAACTAAAAAACTATAAAGAGAGATAGTTCTTCTTCATTTTGGTATTTTTGTGGAAAGTAACTCTATACTATTTTTTTTTTTTTTTTATGTACGATATCTTTTTATACTTTTGGATGTGGGGTTTATGTTTAGGTTAAAGGTTTTATATTTTCATGGTTTTGGGTTTAGTGATTAGGATTTAGGGTTTATATTTTTTGGGTTTAGGGTTTAGTAATTGGGATTATTAGTAATAATGTTTATTTATTTGGTTGTAAGCAATTTGGGTGAAGAGAAATTAACTTGCAAATGGAAGGAGAAAACTGTCCTAAAAACTATTCTCTTTGCTATTCTCTTAATTTCTCATTCACTATAGCTATATTCTTAATATTAGTTTCCAATATTGCTACTCAGCAAATTAACCCTTGATTTTACTTTGATACAGCTTAATAATAAACCTAATTTAAAAGAAAAAATACTCTAATATAAAAGGGAAATTACCAAGCATAATTCATAAAAGAAAACACTCAATACTGGTCTTGTATAAACAACAATGTAATCGATCTAAAATGATATATATATACAAAAAACTGGCGCTGGGTATTAGCCTAGTAGAATATGAAAGGAGATACATATGAATTTTCTCTTTTTATAATCGTTTTGATGCATGTTTTCGATACCACAAAACGGTATGGATCAAAAGCGAAATGTAAGATAAGACGCTAAATTAAGACTTTCTATATTTTGCTTTCATGATTTCTAGAGGAAACATGAAACAACGCAAGAAAAGAAAGTTGGAATCGTAATTCTTACAATCGAGGGGAAGTGGAGATATAGGTCTATAAACATAAGGAAAACCACTTCTCTTATTATTGAACAATAGCTAAAATACTTTTTGAGAAATGATTGACTAGTTTGGATCCTGTATGTGCACATCATAACCAATTAAGCATGCCTAGCAACAAGCAAGAATCCAGGATTTAGAGCGGCGGAATGCAAGATAAGCACCAACAGATAAATGATCGAATCAGCTCCATCACTTTCTTCACTTCACAGCTTTGAGATCGCAAAAGCAGGCAAATTCTTTCTTGTTGGAAGCTTTAGATCTTCCCATCCCTCCTCTTCCTCCACTCTCTTGAAGTACTTTTCTACCATATCATCCTTCATCTCCTCCAGTCGACATGGCTTCCACTGTTTTCAATATACGGCATTAAATTAACATAGTATGACATAACCACAAACCACTAAATGAAGAGATTTGTTAAACCTTTGGGTTCCTATCTTTGTCTATTATTATGGCCCTGCACCCCTACATAAGTAAGAGAAGCTTTTTTTGTAATTATATGTCTACAACAAAGACTGTTCTAAGAGGAAGATACAACAATGTAGGAAAGTCAACAAAACCTCTACTAAATCTTTGCTTATGTCTCCTTTCATCACATGACACACCATTCTATACTCACGGATAAGACACTGCCCCACTCTCTGGTATCTTCCTTCTCGTATCTGAAAGTTATATACAAAGTCAGCTCTTTTCCCATCGTTTGCATGTGATGCATTATGAGAACTAACCGATCTAAGACCGATTTTAAGGCTTGCTGGTGAAGCCTTCTTCAATGCTCCAATGGTAGTTGAGATCCAATCATCTGGTTGAGTGGCTTCTCTCTCCTAACCAACACATATAGATGATGGTTGAGTGCATTCTCAAAGGTGTACTTAGTCAACTCAAGATCACAAGTCAACATTAATGAAAATCTTACAAGTGAAAATATAATATCTTCGATTGTTCTCCTCGAGAAACACCTGTCAATAACATCTAACCTACGTAACAAAAAAAAAAGAACTGAATGGTAAGAAACAGCTGACACAAAATTTTCATAGAAAATCAACTGAAAAATAGATTATGTAAAGACCGATTAAAGGCTGACACCAACAATACAAGGTTGATTTTTTTTTTTAAACATGTATAACGTAATCAGGATCCATAGATCGAAGAGAATGTTTTAGCACATTATTTAGAATGCTCGATGTTGGCATGACAAAATCTATTCGGAAAACATGCACATGTACTAGTAGAAAAGAGTAAAAGAGAGAAAAAAAAAGAAAAAAAAAGATGTCCACTTGCCTGTGGTAAGCACTCTTTTGTTTTAGGTGCGGTTTCTGAGTGTATGCATCGAAAATTGTTGAGACAAATTTTGGATCGCTTGAACCAATTCTGCAAAGATCTGCTTCTAATGCAGCCAACCTCTGTGACAAGGAGTAAGCTCCATAAGTAAAAGTCCTTGTCAATAAAGTATGGGACTTAACAATAGTATCTATATTTTAATATATAGTACGAAATTCATCAACCAACTAATATTTTTAATTAAATGTATAGAAGATATATGAAAAGGAGGTTTTATATATACCGTTGAAGGCAAGACCACAAGCAATCATCTCAGCACCATCTAACCGAGCTCCGGTGAGGCCAACATACTCTCCTTACCAAGATGAGAGGACAAATATTGATAGGCTCAAACTTTTTGTGGGTTTTGACTTTTGAAGGAAAAACAAAAAGAAAGAAAGATTGACTTCTGTTACCAAAAAAACCAGGGAGTCTTGACAAGAAGTAGGAAGCGCCTACATCTGGAAAGAGCCCCAAAGCTGTCTCAGGCATGACAAAAACCTTGGAAAAATAATTCAGAATAAATGCTTTGAGCATATTTCAGAGCGATCTATTTGTCAACTGCTGAACTGCATGTGGATACATTCAAGAAATGAAATACCGTGTTTTCGGTAGCAACACGATAACGACCATGTACGGAGACACCAGCTCCGCCTCCCATAACAATACCATTCAGAATTGAAACCTACATGTTCAAAACAGTATGGAAACGAATGAATGAGCTTAATTATAGGTACACTTTTTGAAACATATAATATATTTATTATAGACATGCTAAAAAATACTCTAAATTTTTAACAGTTGATTTTGGTGATATTTCGAAGCATTAATCTATTACTATATAGTAAATAAAAATCTTATACATGTGTTTTGAAGAGAGAAAAAAAATTGACATACGAAAACAGATGCGGTTGGTATCCAAGTATTTAGCTTCTTAAATCAAATATCCGGATCAAGAAACTCTAATATCCTATTTTGGACCGGATGGATCCTGAATATCCTACTTTGAGTAAAAGGACAGTATGATGAGACATGAGGTTTGCTATGCGTGGCCATAACATAGTTGAGAGTGTATTGTTCAAAAAAGAAATCGGCACCGAGTCTCCATTTTCCTAGTTCAAGAAGGTAGAGAAATAGTGTGTTAGAAGCTGAAACTAGAAAAAAAAAAGAAAAAAAAGATGCTAGGGTGATAATAATATGACCATTGTCTAATCAATGCATGTACATTCGCAGTAACATGATCATTGTCTACTCAATGCATGTACATTTGCAGAAATTGTTGAAGAACTTTCTCATAAATATAAAATATTAGAAAGTCAGTGCATGACATTAAAATTCCGGACATTGACATTGTTGGGAATCGAGAGGAGCTTTCTTGGGGTTTTAGGGAGGAGGAGATAGAAAGAGGAATATAGACGGAGAGGGTTGTTAAATTAGGGTTCCGAGATGCTTGGAGAGTAATACCAAATCTGGAGATTTCAGTATGAATGATCCCTCAAAAAATGTGATATTTTGTTATGTTAATTATCATACTCAATTACTCATATATGGATGTTGAAATGTGATTCAATACTAATTGGAATTGGGGGTTTCGGATTAGGTCGACGAAATGCAAACCGGGAATTGGAAGATGGTTAGAGTCATCAACTCTTCACTGAATGATCCCTCAAAAATGGAATCAACTTTTTTTTGGTGCAACAATGGAATCAACTTGATACTAAATTATCTTTTTAGTTTTTGTTAATTATCAAGTTTTTGGTGGCATTCGATCTCGATTACGTTATGTTTTTCCTTTATGGCGGCGATCATGATTTGTGAAAACAGAGTTTCTGAGAATGTATGTTTTATCAAAAAAAAATTTGACTGAAAAATCGTTAACATGAATCATGGATGGTATCTTCAAAAAATATTATGGAGAAAAGAAAAGAAACAAAAAAGTAAACAATATTTTTAATTGACTCCATTAATTATGTTGACAGTATTAGAAAAAGACTCGATCAAAAAACTTGTATCTTCAATACATAAAAAAATAAAACCATAAATTTGATATGAACCTTTGTTCACAATAAGAGATAGATAGAAGATTTAATTTAGGCTCTCTTGAACATTAAGGTTAATTCTTAGAAGTTCGTTCCTTATTAATCACAACTGAATAATAAAAAATTACAAACGTAATTCATAAAAGAAAACACCTGACACTCTTTAACTAAATACCCTAACCATAGTCTTGTATCAAAATCATTCACCTTTTGTTAATTTGATGCATGCCTACTTATAAATGGCAAATAGAAAATCAAAGGCAACCAATTTGCGGAGAATGATTTATATTTATATCAGTACACTTTCTTCTTATTTTCGGACGAGATATATCAGTACTTACTATAAATATAAAAGTCAGATGCGTGACATCAACCAGAGTATTAGAAAAAGACTCGATCGAGTTAGCATCTACAACCAAACTACATAGAAAAAAATGTAAACGCGTGTTCACACCCAAAGCAATAAAGAATCCAGACTTAGCAGTTACCAGTTAGCATCATCACAGCAGATATACGATATTTGATTCTAGACTTTCTAGTTCGGTCTTAAAAAATATGACAAAATTAATAAATAAACTGAGAATACTAATATTACAGTATATGTTATGGTTTCCGGCCTCGAGGATTACATGTTTTGGCTGGAACCTCCTGTAAATAATAATAATAATAATAAATACTAACAGAAGATGAAAGCTGTGTGAGACAACAAGTTATAAAATCTAAAATTTATTTTGCTAGATGACGATTTCAGTAATTTTGAAAATTCAATGGAGGCAAGCAATTTGTTGGTTATTTTTGGATAGGCATAGTTACTTAATTACTCTTTGTTTAAACGATACATGACATGTGATTTTGTTGTTCATAATGTTATTTTGTTATGAAGACGTAGACCTAATCCACGAAATAAATAAATAGAAATTAGAGTTCATGATTTCGGGTTTATTAAAACATTTATTTCCAAATTCAAAATTCAGATGCAAACCAACATATTATGGAATTTTTTTGACTCGTTTCATAGTATTTGAATGATGGCAAAAATCAAAATATTTATTTTGTATTTTTCCTTACTTAATTTATTTAGCTTTTTTTTTTTTTTTGAATTACTAAGAGATTCTGGAAAGAAGCTCGTACATCCCCATAGGCCCGGAACAACATCATGTAATATTGGTTCTATCCGAAGCACAACTCGATCTTCTGACCTCCAAGCTTTGTCTAGGTCCTTTGCTATAACTACTTGGTTTTATTTAGCTAATTTATCTCCATGTTCAAAAAAAAAAAAAAAAAAAAAAGCTAATTTATCTCCAAAAATGTTTTCATTTGCTAATTCCATTACCTGAAACGTCATTAGCTACGTATGGTTGGTCTCTAGTTCGCCTCTATATAATCCATGTGGCACATTGCAACTCATAGGCAAACACAACATGGATAAAAGATGGAATCTTCAAAGTATGACTGCTCTTGTAACTGGTGGAGCCAGCGGAATCGGGTTAGTTTTTTTTCAACAACCTTTTTTGTTTTGAACAACCAATCTAGTATTCTCTTGCGATATCATATTTTTCACTCAATTTTGTTGTGCTTTTCTTTTCCCCCCTAAGATGTTGCTAATTGTTTTTTTTTTTTTTCGTTGTGGAATGTTTTAGGCATGCCATAGTAGAGGAGCTAGCCAATTTTGGAGCTAGAATTCATGTATGCGACATATCTGAAACACTGCTCAATCAAAGTCTAATCGAATGGGAAAAGAAAGGGTTTCAAGTGAGTGGTTCGATCTGTGATGTATCCTCTCGTACCGAGAGAGAAACACTTATGCAAAACGTCTCAACAATGTTCGATGGAAAGCTCAACATTCTAGTATGTTATTTTTAATCTAAACACCAATTAAATATTAACGTATATATATACACATAATTGTAGGATTTTTGTTAATCTTTTCTTTGTTTTTTGAACATAGGTGAATAACGTTGGGGGATGTCGCATAAGGCCAACAATAGAATATGGGGCAGACGATTTCTCGTTCCATATTTCAACAAACATTGAATCTGCTTACCATCTTAGCCAGCTTTCACATCCTCTCCTAAAGGCTTCTGGATTTGGAAACATCGTCTTTATTTCCTCTGTTGGCGGGGTTGTATCAATGGACTGTGGATCCATCTATGGTTTAACTAAAGGTACATTGACTAACTAATCAATAGAGAGCTTTTCACATATACTAGGCGCACCAGAATTAAGGTTCATACCGTTCATTTATGTTTCATTATGTAAATACAAACTATATATTTGATTAGGAGAATTTGCATTTACGTGTATAATTTTCAAATAATGTTTAATACTAAGTTGAGTTAACAAGTTTATTAGACTGACACATAGCATCTCTTCTTAATTCATATGCGCAAACAATTTGTTGTTTCAAAAATATAGGATCCCAGTGTCAAAATATTCAGTAACATACTAATTAAAGAGAGATATTTATTTGTATAGATACACAAACAAGACTAATCTAAACCTATTCAAGTATCTTGATGGATCATATATAATATATCTTTCTCCAAAAGCAAGTTCCAATGATCAACTTTTGTCCTGATATCATTCATTCATGTCTATCTTTTTTTAGTCATTCTTTTTTCTTTGTGTGAATGCGTAGGAGCTATGAATCATCTAGCAAAAAATTTGGCGTGCGAATGGGCAAGAGACGGCATAAGAGCTAACTCTGTTGCTCCTAGTTTTGTTCAAACTGAGATGGCTGAACCTGTAACCAATGACACCTCCAGCTTCTTTTTTTTTTCGGAATTAATATAATTATGCAATATTTTTCATTCTTGTGTTCTAAAATCTTGTGTATATTCAGCTTCTCGGAGACGCCGGTTACAAGAAGAGTTTGTTTGGTATAACTCCACTTGGGCGTGCTGGACAACCAAACGAGGTTGCATCACTAGTGGTCTTCTTGTGCCTACCTGCAGCTTCATATATTACTGGTCAGACCATTTGTGTTGATGGAGGTCTCAGTGTCAATGGTTTCACCTATAAGCATCATGCTTTAGCCTAGACATGTGTGTGCGTCTTTATAACAAGAACTCCTAAACACGATTCTCAATTAAAGACCAAATTTTAGTAACTTGTTTATGCAAATAAGAGAAAGTGGTCCTCCTAGTTTTAAAGAGCACTATCTCATTTCCTATTTCCACAAGTAGTCTTCCTTTTTGTTTGTGTTCTATATATGTCAGAAAAAATATAGTACTAATGAATAAAGGCATATGTTTTTTTCTCCTAAAACGAAAGTGCATTCTTGTTGTTTTGATCTCTTATTGAAGAATAAGGGCATCCTCATTAAATGTGTTTTCATTAGTGCTTATACACCAAGAGATATGTGGTTCAAAATCCCAGAGAATGCAATTTATTGTCAATTATACAGATTATTGAATATATGCTTGTAGGAGGCTACAGTCTGGCGGTCAAGGTACACCAGAAGACCGAATTGTTTGTTGCGGAATCTTCATTGTAACATTTATAATAATTTGTGATAGTATGTTAAATCAAGTGAAAAAAATAGAAAAAAGTATGAAAAATATATGTGACTAACTATTACTTGAGTAATTTTTTTAAAAGAATGTAAATGTGTTTTACCGGTTTGGATTCCATAACTGTTGTAGGAACAAAAGTTTTTGACATAAAAAAAATTAAAGAGAAAGAAAGATTTCAACAAAATAGTTTGAAATACTTGTGTTATTACACTTGTGTATAGATCTTGATACAACTTAATAATTACAAAAAGGAAAAATACCAAACATAATTCATAAAAGAAACACCAAAAAATCGTCTTGTATAAACAACAATGTAATCGATTTAAAATAATATAAATAATATTGGGGCCCTTATAATATATATATATATATACAAAAAAACCGGTGCATATGTGTGGATATTAGTCTACTAAAATATGAAAGAAGATAAGTATAAGATTTCTTTTATTGTTTCTAATGGTTTTGATACATGTTTTTGATACCACAAATGGTACGGATCAAAAGCGAAATGAAAGCTTTGAATCCACCGAGACTATCCTAATAAAAACGTAAGATAAAATGGTAAAATTAAGACTTTCTATATTTTTCTTTCACGATTCTAGAGGAAACATGATACAACGCAAGAAAAGAAAGTTGGAATCGTAATTCTTGCAATCAAGGGGAACTGGAGAGATAGGTCTATAAACATAAGGAAAACCACTTCTCTTATTATTGAACAATAACTAAAATACCTTTTGAGAAAAAGTAGAGAAATGATTGACTAGTAGAAAGCAAAAATAAGTAGTTTAGATCCTCTATGTGCGCATCATAAGCAATTAAGCATGACTAGCAACCAGACAAGCACCAACAGATAAATGATCGCATCAGCTCCATCACCTTCTTCACTTCACAGCTTTGAGATCGCAAAAGCAGGCAAATTCTTTCTTGTTGGAAGCTTTAGATCTTCCCATCCCTCCTCTTCCTCCACTTTCTTGAAGTACTTCTCTACCATACCATCCTTCATCTCCTCCAGTCGACATGGCTTCCACTGTAATTTCAATATACGGCATCAAATTAACATAGTATGACATAACCACAAACCACTAAATGAAGAGATTTGTTAAACCTTTGGGTTCCTATCTTTGTCTATTATTATGGCCCTGCACCCCTACATAAGTAAGAGAAGCTTTTTTTGTAATTATATGTCTACAACAAAGACTGTTCTAAGAGGAAGATACAACAATGTGGGAAAGTCAACAAAACCTCTACTAAATCTTTGCTTATGTCTCCTTTCATCACATGACACACCATTCTATACTCACGGATAAGACACTGCCCCACTCCTTGGTATCGTCCTTCTCGTATCTGAAAGTAATATACAAAGTCAGCTCTTTTCCCATCGTTTGCATGTGATGCATTATGAGAACTAACCGATCTAAGACAGATTTTAAGGCTTGCTGGTGAAGCCTTCTTCAATGCTCCAATGGTAGTTGAGATCCAGTCATCTGGTTGAGTGGCTTCTCTCTCCTAACCAACACATATAGATGATGGTTGAGTGCATTCTCAAAGGTGTACTTAGTCAACTCAAGATCACAAGTCAACATATCTTAATATATTAAATGAACGTCTTTTTAGTTAAAAAAAAATTAATGAAAATCTTACAAGTGAGAATATAATATCTTCGATTGTTCTCCTTGAGAAGCACCTATCAATAACTTCTAACCTACGTAAAAAAAAAGAACAAATGATAAACAGCTGACACAAAAGTTTCATAGAAATTCAACTGAGAAATAGATTATGTAAAGAACGATTAAAGGCTGACACCAATACAAGGTTCATTTTTTATTTAAAAACATGTATAACGTAATAATGATTGATAGCAGAGGATGTTTTAGCACATTATCTAGAGTGCATGCTCGCGATGTTGGCATGACAAAAGATATTCGGCAAACACATGTACAAGTAAAACATGTCCACTTGCCTGTGGTAAGCACTCTTTTGTATTAGGTGCGGTTTCTGAGTGTATGCATCGAGAATTGTTGAGACAAATTTAGGATCGGCTGAACCAACACTGCAAAGATCTTCTTCTAAAGCAGCCAACCTCTGTGACAAGGAGTAAGCTCCATAAGTAAAAGTCCTTGTCAATAAAATATGGGACTTAACAATAGTATCTATATTTTAATATATAGTACGAAATTCATCAACCAACTAATATTTTTAATTAAATGTATAGAAAATATATGAAAAGGAAGTTTTATATATACCGTTGAAGGCACAAAATGAGTTGCAAGACCACAAGCAAGCATCTCGGCACCATCTAACCGAGCTCCGGTGAGGCCAACATACTCTCCTGAACAAGATGAGAGGACAAATATTGATAGGCTCAAACTTTTTGTGGGTTTTGACTTTTGAAGGAAAAACAAAAAGAAAGAAAGATTGACTTCTGTTACCAAAAAAACCAGGGAGTCTTGACAAGAAGTAGGAAGCGCCTACATCTGGAAAGAGCCCCAAAGCTGTCTCAGGCATGGCAAAAACCTTGGAAAAATAATTCAGAATAAATGCTTTGAGCATATTTCAGAGCGATCTATTTGTCAACTGCTGAACTGCATGTGGATACATTCAAGAAATGAAATACCGTGTTTTCGGTAGCAACACGATAACGACCATGTACGGAGACACCAGCTCCGCCTCCCATAACAATACCATTCAGAATTGAAATCTACATGTTCAAAACAGTATGGAAACGAATGAATGAGCTTAATTATAGGTACAGTTTTTGAAACATTTATTATAGGCATGCTAAAAAATACTCTAAACTTTTAACAGTTGATTTTGGTGATATTTCGAAGCATTAATCTATTACTACTATATACTAAATAAAAATCTTATACATGTGTTTTGAAGAGAAAAAAAATATATTGACATACGAAAACAGATGCGGTCTGTATCCAAGTATTTAGCTTTTTAAATCAAATATCCGGATCAAGAAACTCTAATATCCTATTTTGGACCGGATGGATCCTGAATATCCTACTTTGAGTAAAAGGGCAGTATGATGAGACCTGAGGTTTGCTATGCGTGGCCATAACATAGTTGAGCGTGTATTGTTCAAAAAAGAAATCGGCACCGAGTCTCCATTTTCCTAGTTCAAGAAAGGTAGAGAAATAGTGTGTTAGAAGCTGAAACTAGAAAAAAAAAAGAAAAAAAAGATGCTAAGGTGATAATTATATACCTCGTACGATGTCGCGAACAACAGGTGGAAAATCGCCACCAGCACAAAAGGCTCTTCCCTGGCCCTGTGGCAAAGTTATTTTTCTGTTGTGGAAACGGAAGAGATTAATATAAATGAATTTAATTACCTTAAGGATGACAAGATTCACACTAGGGTCCTCCTCGTATGCAAGAAACAGTTGCAGCAACTGAGAGATCTAGAAAACATTGATTCAAGCTAATTTATATGTAACACTAGTGCAGGAAAGGGAGGAAGAAACAACAAGGGAAAATATGTAATACCATGTCGAAGTTTAGAGCATTCAGCTGCTTTGGCTTGTTTAGTGTCAAGATTCTAACACTCGATTTCTCTTCCACCAAAATCTGTGATCAAAAATATATTCAGAGAAAGAGAGAGAGTAATTGATTGTCGTTGATTTGCAGTAAAGAAGAGAAAAGAGACCTGAGAGTGAGAGGCCATCTCGACTGATGTCTTCTCCATCCTCTTCTTCTCTTTGCCTTTGAAGATTATGAAACTGATCATTATTAGAGACATGAAGCGTACATATATAGTGTTTATTTTTATATTTTTTGGTAGCATTGTTTGGTTTCACTATGGTCAACTTTTTTTTTTTTTTTTTTTTTTTTTTTGGTTAAAGGTTTCACTATGGCCATGAATGGTTTGCTTAGTTAATTTTTTTTTAGTTTAGTTTTAAGATTTTTATTTTGGCTTCGACTTTTGGATTTGGTGTTTCAAATAGTTTCTGGTTCACTTTATTCTCCAATCAAGATATTTAATAAGTAGATTTCCTAAAACTTAGGGAAACTAGTTTTTCAAAGTAACTTCCAATTTTTAAGATAAAAACTGGAGAACTTATAACTTTAGGTTAAAATAAAAATAAAATGGAACCAAACACGTTGTTGACGAATGTCTTCAATACATAAACCATAAAACCATATATCATTCAAGTTTGTTAGTGTATTTTTTTTTTATTTTTTTTTTTCGGGTGCATATGTGAAGATTACGTTTGTTACTTGTTAGTTTGATGTATGTCTACGCATAAATTGCATATATACTGCCATAGAAACCAAAGTCACTCATAACAATGCACGTGCATGACTTTTATAGTACAACATATATCAGTATTCAGTAGTGTAAATATTAAACGTCAGATGTATTACCAACATAACGTCATGCATGCCATTAGTGTCATGGCATGATTAAATTAAGGAATGCATGACATCAATCAGAGACGGTATTAGAAAAAGACTCGATACGCGGCAGGGGCGGAGACAGTAAGGGCAAAGGGGAGTCAGCTGACCCCAATAATTTTTTGTTTTTCTTGTTATTTTTATAGTCAAAAATTTAATGACCCTGTTTAAAAGTAATTATTGAACCCTGTAAATTATTTATCTAAAGTTTGAAGTAAAAAGATCATGAAAATTAATTGGGTTTACGTTATATCCTTGTAAAATGTAAAACAAAAGGCACAATAACAAATTTTATTGTAACTTTTAATTTATTTCCCTCTAAAATAAAAGTAAAATGGTTTTGTAGACCAATAATTTTTTTCATTTTGCAATTTATGAATTATATATTTTAGTATATTTGTTTGACCCCTATTAAAAAAATTCTAGATCCACCCCTCATACGCGGTACTACCAAACTGTTAGAAAAAGACTCGATCGAGTAAGCCTATACCAAATTACTAGAAAAGACTATTTTTTGTTAAAGGGTTATACTAGAAAAAGAGTAATGAACTATGGTGATCGGCTCATGGTTTCTAAGCTCATGGTCGAGTTTATGAACTATGGTGATCGGCTCTTTGTTTCTCGAGAATTTTGGGAAGGTGTTTGTGGCTTTTTATCCTACAATATATTAAAGACCATGTATTTTTGCTGATGTGGCAAGCTCTCCTTTTTTGGACTCATTTTTTATTTATTTAAATCCTACAATATATTAAAACAGAAAAACAGGCGGATCTTCTTTACCCGTTTACATATCGCGCGGATCACTCGGATCTTCTGCAATTTCTATTTATAAAACGTTGGGCTTCAATATTGGGCTTTGATATTTTAAAGTCTTTTCTTCGGCCTTGCCCAATCCGAGTTATTTTTTTATTGTAAATTATTCCATTTCCATAAACTGAAAAGCTTCTTCTTCAAGTTCTTTAAGCTTTCCATACATATTATTTGCATAATCAAGTTTTCTTGAACTTCCTAAAGTTAGTAATCCATATTTAACATTATTACCAAAGTTATACTAATCGAATATTGAAAACGTGCAAAGTTATTTTATTAACCAAAAAAATAAAAAAGCTTCTTCCCTAAGCTTCTCAGCATTCCTTAATTCGCTTTTGTAGAATTAATGGTTTAACCTAAACAGAGAAGCTACACCTCACTTCTATATATAAAGGACTTCTCAATGTAAATGTTTCACCATTCTTGGTAATATGTTAAAGCGACTGATCGGTTTTCTGTGTGTCACTGGATGAAGTTTGTCTTTTTGGTTGGAAGTCGTGGAGATTGGAATTCGTTGGTAGGTGTAGAACAAGATAATCAGATCTGGAGTTCCGAATGAAGGTGCTTGGGTAAATAATCTGGTCTTTATGCACGTCATAAATCTGATGGATTGAGGATTTCCTGCCATAAATACATGGCGGGATCTGCAAATGGAGTTGGAGAGTGGAATCCGGATAAAGCTGGGTTGAATTCCGCTTTCAGCCAAAATGAAGATGATCTAATCTTCGGCGACCTGCGACGGCGGAGCTAGGTGGCGGCTCACCTTTTCCACATTAAGCCTAATGTAAACATGTGTACATTCAAAATAAAAAGATATATTGTCGTCTTTAATGAAATGATACATGTTCGTCTTTTAAATTATTAGACGTTAATGAAAGTTTTCGTTTTATTAAAGGTTTTGAGATGTCGTACATTCAAAATGAAATTCTATCTATTTAGAAATATATTCTCTCCTTGGATCTCGGTTAGATATTGGAATTTTCGGACCACTGTTTGTTATCTCGAAGTTGGTCTCCCCTGAAATTAGTTCTTCTGGTTTCATAAATTTTCACATGATATGTGGTTTTTTTCTACCCTTCTTCTATTTGTTCGATGCCTAATGGTGTCTTTTTGTCAAAATTTATGTAGTCATTTAATGAAATTAAGTGTTAAAAATAAACTATCAAGAAGAAGCATGGAGGAGAGACTAGCTAACCGATCCACAAAGGAATGCAACACCGGAAAGGAAGAGGTATCAAATTTTCTTCAATGGGAAGCATTTTTTTTGGAAACAAAGTGATCTGAGAATATGACTGCGAAAACCAAGTTCTCGAGGTGTTCAAGCTTCAAAGGTGAAGAGTTGAAGATCAATGGAAGATGTACTACGTGAACGATATTAGAAAATGATCGATGATTCAAGAGTTGTGTCATTGCCAAGGTTGGCCGTTCGGTTCAGGAAGAAAAGCTGCGTTGCTTCCGCCGCTCCCTGCTACCGAGTCTTGGACCTCTTGGTCATAATGCAAACCCAACAGAGTTACTCCAGTTCCTTTTTTTAGTTATAATCATCAGAAACAAAATGGGTCTTCCTGTTAAAATTGTTGGAGCTTTGAATTTATTTTTCTATTTGTGGGGTTAAGCTCTTAACGTTGAAAAGCTTGGTTTTGGAGAAAACAATGAACAAATTCACCTTACATTTTTTCTAGGTCATTGGCTTTATTATGTGTTAAAGACACAAAAACGCAATAACAACATACTCTTCATATTTTAAGATCTTCAATTTCAATTTTATGCCCTTTGCTGAACGTAACATCCCAAAGTCTCGAGGTGCCGAAATCAGTGACCTACAAAAGAAACAAAATCAGTTTCTTAGAAAGACAAGTCCATAAGTGTCTGCCATTGCCATTCATAAATTGAATAGATTCAATGATGCGTGAAGGTTTTTTACCAAATACAATTGAGAAGATCACACATAGAGAACGAGAGAATGTGGATGACAAGTTACATTAACTCGATCATCATGCAACTCCTAACTGTTGTTGAGAAAGATACATATTTGCAAAATAAATCACCGGAGAATGTAAATTTGTTACCTTTAACCATTCTTAACAAAGCGTGCTGCATCTCATCTTCAAATGAATTATATATAATAATTCACATAAATAAATAACCAATTATCTATCCATTATTCCAAAACAAAACAAAAATTAAAATATTAGTAATCGAAAAATATGCTTATTATTATATTAAAAATATTTATATGAATTGATAAAGAAACAAAATAGATATCAATCTAAAAATAATACTAAAAAATAACATATCCATTCAATAGTAATTTATTTTAAATATGAAAAATATTTAAGTTAACTCAATCCCACGCATTAGGCGTGGGTAATCCCCTAGTTTTAATGAAAAATCACTCAAAACTTAGCTAATCCCAAGAGAATCCTCCCAAAATCTCATAAGACATTTTCTTAAATCTCCCTAAATCTCACAAAATATTTTTAAAACCTCTTAAAATCTCTTAAAACCACCTAATATACAAAATCATTCAAAATCACCTAAAATCTTTAAAATTCCTTTTTCAATACACCCCCCTTAAACAAGTACGTGCTCATACCCAAAGCAAAAAAGTACCCACATTTAGCGTCATGCCATCACAGCAAATATAATACATTTGATTCTATATGTAGACTTGCTATTCCGCTTTAAAAATTAACGATTCTTGGTTGGTTATATATAATATATTAGGAGGTGATCCGCTTCGCGCGGGAATTTATATTATTGTGTTAATTTTATTGTTTTTCCGCAAATTTAGTTTATTTCTATTGTTTATTATTGTTTCAAAAATATTACACATATTAATTAAAAATAATTAGGATTAGGCAAAATTAACGTACTGTCTTGTCCCATTGTATCCCATTTCGTTCATTTTCATCATGTCCGTTCTTTCTCGTCTCATCCATCTTGTCTGTCCCGTCCCGTCCTATCCCATTATGTTCCTTTCCATTTTGTTATGTCCCATCATGTTCCTTCCGTTTCTTCTCGTCCCGTTCCCTAAATATAACTAAGGATAGACAAAATTCCCGTATAGTCCCATCCCGTCCCATTTCATTCCTTTTCATCTTGTCCCGTTCTTTCCCGTCCCGTTCCGTCATGTCCGCCCTATCGAGTCCCATCATATCCTGTTATTTTTTTTTCCGTTTTGTCTTGTCTCTGTCCGGTCCCTAAATATAATTAGGGGTAGGTGAAATTACTGTCCCGTCCCTTCTCGTCCCATTATGTCCCTTTCATCCCGTCCCGTCCAATCCCGTCTCATTCTGTTTTTTCATCTCGTCATGTCTAATTTGTCTGTCTCGTCTCGTCCAGTCTTATCCCATTTCTCTTGTTATGTTTTTTTCGTCTCATCTTGTCCGGTCTCGTCTCATTTCATCCCAAAATAGTTAAAAAAATCATGTTCTTTATATAACATCTTGACATCAATGTAAATTATATAATCTAACA